AGTTATTGATGTCACAGTTCCCAAACTGGCAGTCTGGAGATGCTGCCTAAATGTCACGTGGTAGCTACACATGGATGTTGGTGATTGCCTCGTGTTTGTTTTGGTCAGTAATTTTTGAATGGCTTGCAGCTGAGTTAAGATGTCATGTGGGAAGATTTTGTTGCTGAGGCTGAGCCCTCCCCTCAGCTGCCTGGCAGAGAGACCCCGTTGTTCTTGCTTCATTGTGTAAACACAGGGCTTGGGGAGCAGGCTCCCTACTCCACCCTGGAGAATGCTGGGTGAAGATGCTGCCTCCTGAGCTGTCCTGCTCCCTCACCTGGGGAACACCAGCCTTCTGTCCCTTTGTCACTATTGAGTGTGTAGAAGTGAGCCCTACACTTAGGGATCAGCGTGGCTGGTGTGCCTGTCACCTAACGTTTTCGGACAGACCAGTGGTGAGTGCCTCCAGTCCTGCAGCATGGCTCTAACATACCCCATGCTACAGGCTCTGCCCTGATTCCTTCAGTAGCATGGTTCTTTAGGGGTTGCTTGGGGTAGTGTTGAGGCCCGAGAGGTGATGGTATTTCCTTCTCATTGTTTCTAAAACATAACACACATGGTGACACTTTGTTTTTATCTTTCCCTGCTTTCTCTGCTCACACCGGCCATCACCCCAGAATTCTTGGAGTGCCTCCCTCTGGGACTTTTCCTTTGCCTTCTTGTGTCTTTCTTCAGCATAGTGACAAACCAGAGAAATGGACTGACCAGGGGCTTCTCTTCCAAGCCCTAAACTTACATCTGTTCTAATCCTAGAGAAGATAACTGTCCTCATAAACCCTTCATGAGAGGACACCTGATCACCTCCTGCATACTCTAGACACACCATACATATGCAGACATATGGCTGTTTCTCCTGTTGTGGTCAGTGACACGGCACCTGGCCATAACTCCTCCATGCTGGCCAGCTTGCTGTTTGAGTTTTGTGCTTTCTCAGCCCCCATCAACTCCCTCCAGATATCCATAGGGCTCTCATTCTTGTCTCCTTTAGGTCTACTGGATTGTAGCATTGTCATACGGGCCTTCCCCTTTGCTATTTTGGATAATAAACCTATCTCCTCCACTTTGTATTCCCCAAGTCTCTCATTTCACTTTTTGACATGGTACATATCTTTGTCAGCTGTACTACATAACTTGTTTGTCTCTGCTATTAGAACACGAGTTGCACAAAGGTAGAGATTTTCCCAGGACTTTGGAAGGAGTCCTATCGCAAGAACCCCTTTGTTTAATAATTCTGAAATAAATAACGATGTTTATTGAATGCTTGTATTGTTATCAATTTAATGGCCTTGTATCTCACATTGTTTGATTGTTATCACAATTTTACAAAGCATCTATGCTATAACGTATCCAAGAAACATGAAATCTACAGTGTGTAAGATGCTTGGGTCACAAGTGACGGTTGGTATCTCAGCATGAGAGTGCTCTACAGAGGACAAGAAGCAGGCTGGTTAGTACAGATAGATATATAGCATCTCTGTATAGATACTACTACATGTGTGCCTTTCAATACAGTAGTACATGTTTCTGGGCATACACATATGCAGACAATGATTTTTAGAGATTTGAATATAGAGGCTGGAGTGTCAGGACATTCAGGCTATGCTGGAGTGCCCAAGGAAGAACGGTGGTTGAATCCTTTGTCTGGGATTATCTGGAGGCAGAATTTCTTCCTTTACAGGCCTTCAGTGGACTGAAGAAAACCTATCCATATCATGGTGACTATCTCCTCTACCAATATAACAGTCCTGCATCTAAAATCTACCCTTACAGTATCAGGTAGATGGCTGCCTTGAAAGTACCTGCGTTCTGCAGCCCAACCTACATGGCATAGTAATTCCCCTTTCTAGTGACCCAGAGGTGTTCAGGATGGCCAGGCTCATCCTGTTCACTCCATCTCCCAGGGATATTTGTCCTACCCTGAGGGACAAAGCAAGACCACCCACCACCACCACCCACATACATACACATACACACATACACATACACATGCACAAGCACACACACACACACACACACACACACACACACACACACACAAGATTCTAGTATCCAAGAGCTTCCCATCCTATATGTTCTTGGACGTGAAGACCACCCAGTTCTCAGGATGACCTCCACCTTGTGTGTAGACAGAAAAATGATCAGCATAGCTCCAGCCCATAGCTTTCTCACCCTGGAAGTCCTGCTTTCTTTTTTATCCTCTTTTATTTTTGAAGCAGTCTTATTGTCTTGAATAGTCCAGCTTTCAACTCCCAGATTCTAGGGATCATTCTGCCTCTGTTTCTTGAGTGGCTGAGACTACAACATGAGCTACTGTACCTGGCTTTGTCTTTTTAGACTTATTTAAATGTAGGGACTATGCCATCCATGTATTATGTGCACCAGCAACTTTGATTCCCTGGAACTAAAGTTACAGATGTTTGTTACTTTATAGAGTTACAGTTACAGATGGTTATGAACCACCCTGTGAGAGCTAGGAACCACACTCAGGTTGTTCGTCAGGATCAAGTGCTCCTAATTACTCAGCCAGCTCTCCAGCCTCGATTTTGCCTTTTTTTTTTTTTTAAATGATGTGTCCCATGCAGAGAATTGACCACTATGCTGGGATGTTGTACCTATTTTCCTTATTTCAGCGTCAGGTGAAGAAGCAGACACTGTGGACCACTCCCAGATCCTCAATAGCATTTAACTCAAAAAATCAGGAAGAGGACAGAGCTGTGGAATGAGATGGTTCTGTCTAAGGCTCTTTGCAGCCACGTGACTTAGCAAGGCCGTCAATATTTCTTCATTTGAGCTTCTGGTTTATAATAGCAAATACTGGTATTTTGTTGAGAGCTGCTTGGGCCCTGCTTGCTCTCCTGCTGTAAATCCCAAATCAGTTGTAATTGGAGTGATCTGAAGACAGGAAAGAATAGAAGAGCAAAGAAATCTGTTGGACCTTATTTGGAGTCAGAAGGGACAGCTTGCCACAACTGGCTCAGTTTCCCCTTCATAGTGGATTGGTCTCTCTGACACTGAGGCTGTAAAAGATCTGTGTTTACCTGGGCACTCCTTAAGTCTGGCATCATTTGCCCAGTCACCATGCAGCATGAGCTAGCAATGGCCATTAGAACCAGCCTGAGTCCTGGGGTGGACACCAAGAATGGGCTCTGGCAGTCTGGAGACAACCACTTTCAACATGCTATCATGTTATACATACTCGCTTCTCATTGCATTATAAGCAACAGTGCTTGTCAGTATACTGTATTCCCTCTAGTATGACTCCTCCCCACTTCCACGCCTGCAGGGACTTTGTCACTCTCTGGGGTGCCTGTGTGCCAGGAATACATATGTACACCCAAAGTTATAGGTCATGAGATTGGTTCTATAGCTCCCATTATTAAGCCCTGTCCCCATGTCACCTGTTTTCATTAGATGTGTACCATTTTCTTTAATCCTCTTCCTCACTTAAAGTATCTCTACCATTGTCACAGTGATCTAAAAATGTTCACATTGTTTAGTTTTTTAAAATTCTTTACATAATATGCTAAACTTAATCTTATACCACATTATAGGAAACAGCTTTGTATACACGTGTCTTTACTTTTGAGGAACTAACATCTCAGAATTCATTTTTAGAGTCTACATCACAATCTAAAATGTACTTTGAGTAACCATTGTGTGTGTGTGTGTGTGTGTGTGTGTGTGTGTGTGTGTGTGTGTCCCCTAACTAATGTTGAGAGGAGACAGGGTCTGGTGGTGATGACTTGGAAACATGGGGTTTCTCTTTGTTCCTCAGCACAACCAGCTCTACAGCCAGCAGCTGTGACACAGAGTTCACTAAAGAAGACGAGCAAAGGCTGAAGGATTATATCCAGCAGCTCAAGAATGACAGAGCTGCAGTCAAGCTGACCATGTTGGAGCTGGAGAGCATCCACATCGACCCACTCAGCTACGATGTCAAGCCAAGAGGTGACAGCCAGAGGCTGGACCTGGAGAATGCGGTGCTGATGCAGGAGCTGATGGCCATGAAGGTGTGCTGAAGGTTTCATTTGTTGGGTGCACCCAGAGGGATACCTCACAGGCCTCTGAGAGCATGGCAGCAGGGTTCAGTTAGTAGTTATCTCTGTTTGGACAATAGCCTCTGAGGAGAGGCTGGCTTTAGTTTGTCTGGAAGTCCTATGGTCTGGACTTTATTGGAAAGGCAGTTGACTTCCAGAGGTTGCTGTGGAGTACCCGCAGTTCAATATATGTCAAGGGTTAAGCAAGACCTGCAGCTTCTGTCTGTCCATGATGACCCCTGATCTAAATAGTGGTAAAAGTCCTTGTTGTGGTCAACCATGTTGGTAGAAGCTAGAGCAGGGAGAGACTGTGACAAAACCAGCTTGACAATTGGCAAAAGGACTGGTTTCCTGTCACCCCTGGGTCTTAAGAGCTATAAGTCTGTTTAGAATTGGGGCGCTCCAGTAAGAGTTGGCAGAACAGTTCTGGCCAATGTCCTGCCAAGATCTTGAGTTCTTCACTCATGGGCTGAGGTACCTACCAGCATTTCTAGAGAAAGGAACACCATTACAAGTAGTTAAGTTGCTATCCTTTCATCTCAGTGAGCCACAGCAGAAAGGAGATGGAGGATTAGAGCAGCTCCCTGGATCCTCAGTCAGCTCTGGATTAGGTTCCCAGATCCTGCCCATCACTTCTCTAAGATGCTGGTGCTTGAATCTGGGAAGATACAGGGCAGCAGAACCAAACTTGGGAACCCAGGTGTCCCTCCTTGATACTAACCCCTGTCCCCACCTTCCACCCCCACTTGGCACTTCTCCATCCAGCCACTCATCTCTGAGGCTCACATTCCTCTGGCTGAGTCCTGACTGCCTGTGATTTTTGTCCCAGTCAGGTTCCTTTTGCAGCTCTTGTAGCACACACTACATGAGCCCACAGCTTATCCCTCTATTATTTATTCCAAACAGGATGTTTTCTTTTATCTAGAGACTAAGTATTTCCTTTTTATAATTTAGCCAATATGGAGTGTGACAGATTTACTGTTGATCTGACCAAGAAAAGACTTGTGTGTGTGTGTGTGTGTGTGTGTGTGTGTGTGTGTGTGTGTGTGTGATTCCCTTTGCCACTTAACATAAACTGCACTCATCTTAGATATTTTTGTAGGTGTACAAGTGACGAAAAGCTGGGAGAACCTGGGTCCTCAGGACCCAGAGCCCATTGTCCATGTCCTGACCTGGTTTTCCTCCTGAGGGCTTTAGGAAGGCTACCAATCAGCTCTGTATCGCTTTCCCCAACATGTTCACCAGTGTGTGCCAACCCACACACCAGTAGCCAGTGAACTATGTTGGGATTTACCATTTTGCTCCAGAATGTAAATGCTGAGGCTTCTAGTCCATGATCTTTAGTGAATACCAATCATTCACCTAGATGATCCACCTGACATTTTTATAATCCACCCTTCTTTCAGAATGTCTTGTCTTTTCATTAGGAGTCCGTTTCCTTTATCCCTTTAGTTATTACCAATACTTGCCTTTCTAGTTTTTCACACCCTCCATTCTGCTCCCATAAATGCCCAGTCACTTTTGATGGATATGCTAACCACACTTCTCTCAGAGAGGCTCATTTCCATCACTGTCGAAGGTAGAATGCCTATATCTACCTTGGAAAGCAGGTCTCCATGGGGTCTCACAGCCCAGGACTAAGGCTGTTACCTATCCATTGTGACTTGTGGATTGCAGAGGTCAGGTATTCAGTTTTGGTGTGATTTGGGCACATGGATTCTTGTACCATCCATATATAAGCTTGATTTTTTTAAGAGCTTATTTTTCTTCTTACCTACAGTATGAAAGATAATAATTTTCCTTGCCATACCTCCAGAAAATCAGTTTCCTAGTATCTCATTCAGGCAGTACTTCAAGAGTCTTTGCTCACCTAGGTGGAATCAACATGGATGTCTGCCTCACAGAGGCTGTGGCCTGCTCTTCTGTGGACCTAAAACCACAGATGCCAGGAACTACAGAGCACTCTCCTGTCTTGGGCCACCTGTGAGTCTCAACTGCAGACTTGTGCCTGTGTTTCTGACACTTGTATGTTCTCCTTTCCTTCCTGTAAGCTTGCTTTTATACGTGTGTTCTGAGAGTGACCATCACATGGGCTCAGCATGCACAGTTGTCATAGCCTTTGGAATCCTCCTTCTGATAAGCAAAGATGAGAAGAAAGCTTCCAGTATAGAAACCATTCTGGATGAGTCTGGTCATCATGGTAAAGAGGGTTTAGCCTGCTCTTCTGAGAGGTCACTGAACTCAGTGACTAATGCGTTCTACCCTCCAAGGAAGACAAGCCTTGGTGGGTACCCTCCAACTCTTCTTTACTTTCAGAAGATTAAATGAGTTCCTTTCTGTGGTGTGCTCAAGGAAAACTGATGGTTGCCACTGCTTTCTGCCTCCTGGTCAAGAATAGCTTTGTCCTAATTTGCATTCCCATCTTACTCCACAGAAAACAACCAGTTAAGCCCTTTAGGAGATTTTTCAGAAGTTTTCTATTGGTGTGTTGGCTTGGCATGCACTTGGCCCTTAGGTTCAATTCCCAGCACTGAGCAACCAGAAGGACCTTATCTGATGAGTAGTTTCCAGTGGAGGATTGATCCTGCTAATTTCGTTTGGCCCTCTGAAGCAGACAAGTGCTAATGGATGCTATTATAATTAGCACTCCTCAACTGGCATGGCTCAGCTGTGGAGCGGCAAGAAAATGGTGCCATGGAAGAGAAGTGGGAATCAGAAGCCCAGTCAGACATCTTTGCATGGGTATATCCTTTACAGTCCTGGTAGATGTACCCTGAGCCTCTGCATCCAGAGAACTGATTTTCACCAAGTCATTTGAGATGTGTGCACTGGCATGTGTACATTTGAGATCCCAACAGCACCTTAAAGGTTTTCCTCACATGGAAGTGAAGCCTGCTTGCCTGTAATTTCTACCCATGATTCTAAATTCTAGTTCCCAGAATGGCAAAGCACTCCGTTGTGTCTACCTATCAGCCCTTCAGATGTGTGGAGACAGCCAGCTCGTTCCCAGCTTTGGAGTGGTATCTGAACTAAGTACCCCTGTGGCTTGTAGCCAGGTCTTCTGCACCTATTTGGCATGGTATCCCTTAGGGCATACAGTGCAAACCTCTCATTGGCTGTGTTTGCTTTGTTCCACAGGAGGAGATGGCTGAGCTGAAGGCCCAGCTCTATCTGCTGGAGAAAGAGAAGAAAGCCCTGGAGCTAAAGCTGAGCACAAGGGAAGCACAGGAGCAGGCCTATCTGGTGCACATCGAGCACCTCAAGTCCGAAGTGGAGGAACAGAAGGAGCAGAGGATGCGATCCCTGAGCTCCACTAGCAGCAGCGGCAAGGAGAAGCCCGGCAAGGTAGGGACAGGATGACATGGGGACACCCTCAGTGCAGGCATTACCCCTACCTTTATCCTGTCAATATGCCGTTGTTGTCTCAGGTTCCTTGCTGTTTTTATAGGTACGAGAGGTCATAAGAAACCAAATCCACATTAAGAGGTAACATCTCCCATTGTATTCAAGTTCAAACATTTGTACACATCAGTCTCATCAGAGGAGTGGTCTGTGCAGTGGCCTCATCCGGGATCTATGTGTTTCCCCACAACATCAATCAATGGGCAGGGAGCTGTTCCTTCTGTATTAGTTCCCTCTGCTTATCTCCCTCAGATCTCATGTCTCTAAGCAAGGAACATCAGTCTGCATTTATATGAGGAAATACAGTTCCACAGAAGCAAGGGGTCTTGCTAATAAAAACAGCAGCATGGGGTGTAAACCACACCTGGCCTACAGGCTACCTTAAGTCTTCACCACCCCTGCTCTCTCAGTGCCTCAGTAAGCAGGAACAGAAGGCGGGAGGGAAGCCTTCGATTACCAAGTTTACAGAGATGGGGCTTCTAGTGACAATGTTCACAAACCCATACTCGAATCAACCCCTCCTTCATGCCCCAGGGGCCTTTTCTAGTATCCAAGCTCATTCTGTCATTTTGTATTTCTCTTCCACATGTGCATTGGAAAGATAGAGAACAAACTGCTTTTGAGCCTAATACATTCTGTCCCTCACTCACTTGGGGAACTTTGTGTTCAGCACATCATATTTAATATTCCTAATATGCAAGCTCCTGCTGACACCAGTGTGTGCTCAGATTCAGGATTTGCAAGCATATGCTGACTGGCTGATCGTGTAAATGCTTTCTCACAGTGCAACTGTAGGTATCGCAGGGAGTCTCCAGGAAAGTTGTGTGCTTAGGAAGGAAGGAAGAACGCCGTTGCTGCTTCGTGGTGTGAACTGTTGCTTCCTATGTAGCTAAGAATTCTGAAGCATGCTGCACCACCAGCTGCAGTGTCTGCTTCCTTACCTCACTCTGCAGATAAATCCACGAGGCTCACAGTGTGGCTCTTTGCTAAGCCAGGCATCCTGAGGCTATGATGCATCCTGCCCACCCATCCACAGCATGTCAGGCCCAAGGTGAACTGCTGTTGGTTAGGACTTTATGCTGGGGCTGATGGATAAAGGTGTTCACAGTACAGTTACAAGATGCCCCAAAATGCAAGTTTCAGCTTCGAGAGCTAATGTGAGGGCAGAGTCAGGACATACAGTTCGGGTGGTGGAGAACAGATTCTCTGAAGAAATGAGCTTCTGACCCAGGTCCCAGTAGGGAATGGGAGCTAAAGTACAGGTCTGCAATGCCTCCAGCAATGTGAGGCTCCAAGACCCAGAGGAAAACGAATCAGTGTGTTGGCTAGAGGGCTCAGTTTGCAGTGTTATCTCAATCACAGTGGGAAAATCGGGGATGGGCTTTGGTGGGGGCAGGGGTGGGGTTGACATGGCTCAAGAACTGGAGAGATGCTATGCCCAAATGCAGTACCACTTCAGCAGGGGCCGTTCAGTGGTGGTGTTTCATATGATCACACCCATGGTTTAAGAAGATGATGCTTTCTGCTCTGTACACTTTCAGAATCTTTGCTTGGCCTTTTAAGCTTGTTGGTCAGTTTGGGACACAACCTTCAACAGAGCACCAGTGTCTGTGTATGTTCTTAGGGTGTGGCAGAAGGGACTCAGCAGCCAAAGACCCATGAACTGAACAGTCCCTCACATTTCTCCCTGTTTATTTTGACTGAGAAGCACTGTGCCCTGTGGGGTGGCTTCAACACACAGGCCTTTCTCTGACAGGAAAGGCCAGCTGGCTTTTTAAAACATCTCCATAAGAAGGTAATTTATAAAGGTCCCCAGTGCTTCTGGTTTGTGCCTCTGGTTACTAGCTCAGTAAGTCTTCCATCTGCGTGTATTTGCTGGAGGTGAGACCACCAGTCTAGAGAAGGGAGGCAAGCTTTTGGTGAGCAAGGCTGAGAGAAAATCCCTTAGGTGTTTGTCCATCAAACCATCCCTGATACAGCTAACCAAGCTGGTTCCTAGTTCCTGCCCACATTGTTTTAGGTTTTCTGCCGTTCTTGTCTGTATGTATCATATATCTTTAATGGCAGCATTCGGAAGGTGGAGGCGAACTTGTTTTCCTCTTCCTCGCTTGAGTTTTATGAATGAATACATGGGATATAATGAAGCTCCCTCATCTAGAGGTGAGCTTTCTCTCAAAAGAGTGGTATGTGTCATCAAGGACATGTATGTGTATTTGCCTTCTAAAGGGGCTCACATGAAGCCAGAGGGCCAGGCTTTGAGGTTTGGATCTGTTAGCTTCTAGCTGGTGACTGGGCAGGGTAACCCCAGTGCCTTGGTTTCTTCCATGATAAATGACAACAGTAGATAGCACAGCTGCCTATGAGGTCCTTCCTAGTGATGAGGGGATAGTTGTGGCACCTTAGACCAGTGCCACTGCAGTAAGTGTTTCCCAGAGACTTCCACATTTGGGGCAGCGTGTGAAGGTAATAAGAAATCTGAGAACAGATGAGACAATCAGATCCCCACCCCTACCCCCAACCCCCTAGCTTTCACTCAGCTGGCCCGAGGGGTCTTTAGGCATGGTGCTGCTGTCATGTGCCCCACAGCTGAGATGGTCACTGAAGTGCCCCTGGTTTCTGGCTCCCATCTGACAATGAATATGTCTGTTCTCCTCAGGAGTGCGCTGATGCTGCCTCTCCAGCTTTGTCACTGGCTGAACTAAGGACGAACAGTGACAGTGAGTTGGCCACCGAGTTCGCCAATGCCATCCGACGGTAAGCAACCCTCACATCCTTGTGTTGTTCTTGTCAGCTGTGAAGGCTTTCGGGCACCCTCTCACGGCTGCTCACTCCAGCTCTTCCAGGATCATGTGGGTCTGCCTGGAATACAGGAAGGCTCTGTATGTTTTACTTGTGCCCCAACCATGCAAGCTAGAAGTGGATAACCCTGCCCTTCTGAAAAGGGAGTGCTGGGTGTTGGCATGTGAGTCATTCTGTTGGCAAGTGCGAAAATCTCTCCTTCCTGTTTTGGATGCTGTCACATTGGCTAGACCCTTCTAGATTTGGTAGATGGTGGGAAGGAAAACAGGCACCCTGCCTTGAAGACATCTTTAGTGGGACTGTGTTCTGCAGCATCAGTAGTCCCTGCCAATGGGAGCCCTCATGCCTGTCTTTGCCAATGGGAGCCTCATGTCGTTACCCAGTTCTTGGACATTTTCCTCCAGTATTTCAGGGTGTCTTCTCCCACATACTACTTTGTCTTTTCCAAAGAGAAAGAGAAGCCAGTTCATTTAGACCAGACTTCCACACCCTAACTGCTCACACTTTCTATCCCTCTCCCCAACCCTCAGTTGCTTTGGAGTCCTGAGGAAGTAATTGCACTTTTTCTAATACTCAGATGAATCTATTTTTTCTTGGGTGTGTATTCAATTGGCACATGGTAGTCACACACATTTGTGAAATACAATGTAGCATTTCATAGATAGAACTATCAGATAGGTTTTGCAGCTCACTTAGTCTTTGGTTGTGGCTACTGGGTGGTCCAGCTCACGTTTATTTATTTTGGTGCTGAAATCATCTTTTTAAATGAAGTGACGTCCCCTTGCATCTTGGTGGGGATACTTATTGGATTTATTCTTCAGTTCCGTCTTGGCCCTAGCTGCCTGTTCCCTTGGTACTGAGCTTTGAGGTTATTTGCCTAAACTACTATTTGCTGTTTTGCTAAGCATCATGGTCTGATTATGGGTGTGGTGTCTCCCTCCGAGCCTGCCTTGCTGGGGTTCTTTGAGAAGCTATCTATCAAGTGTGTCAGTTCATCTGATGGGCTGTTTGTTCCTCCTGGCTGACAGTCGCTGAGTCTGCCTATCTGACCCCAGCTTCTGGCCCTGTCTTGTTGAGACAGCTGGCACTTTGGCTGGGATTCCTCTGTCCCTCCTTCCAGTGACAGGGGCTCTCATCTGCATTTTCAGTTACAGTTTCCTCTCTTAGGAAGAAGAAAACTGTCTGCCTTTCACTTTTCTTGGTTTCTGATACACAGGAACATTAGTTGCTTTCCAAAAAGCCAATGGAGGTTTACAGAATACTTTCTGCATTTCTCCTAGGGATCTGACACAGGAATTTTTGACAGTGCATTCTCAGCTAACTTGATCCTACCGTGATCCCCTGTGTATTTTATACCAGTGGACTCCCAGTGGACCCCCAGTGGACCAAAGTTGGCCTTATGAATCCTTTTCTACCTTCCCAGTTTGCTCAAAGTCACTCTGTCCTTCTGTCCAAGTTGGAATGGCCTTGTGTTTACTTTTCCAGTACCTCTTGTGATGATGCTACATTGTAATTGCTCAGCCTGGGGCAGGAAACAGGCATAGCAGGAGAATGCCTGAACAAAATGCTATAACTTCCTTGTGCCAACAAGGATGAAAATCCACTCTCCAATTGGGGGAGTTATTTGGATATTGTATCTGTAAACTGAGCTCCTACATTCTTCAAATTCCCAAAGCCCCAGAGGCTTTTGCTGGCACGAGTAGGGTTCAGGTTGTGCTGACTAAACATAAAGAGATTTCACTTATCCCCTGTCATGATGGATTTCCAATAACCAGCCTTAAGTCTGTTAGCATGGATTTCTAATCTCGAGCCAGATATATGGAGCCAAGAAAGAACCAGAGGGGCTGGAAGAAAAAGGAAAATAACGTAATTATATGGTAAATAGAGCTTTAGAATGGGAATCATCATTTCGTGAGGGAGCATAGTCCAGACAGACACTCCAAGACTGAGGTTAGGGGATGTTTCTAATATTAAAACTGGAGTGGAAACAAACACCTTTCCCGAAGGTATCCATGCTGTTATTAGCAGGCTGAGTGGCCCAGGTCAGGTGGGATGTTGCCAGTGTCTTCAAAAGTTCTCTTCTTTTGGAGCAGAGCACTGTGGGCCAGGCTCCCTGCTGAGCAGAAAAATGTGGGTAGGAGTGGAGGGAAGAGCCAGGTCCCATCCTGAGGAGAGCCAGCCATTCTGAGGCAGGCACTCTGCAAACAGCAGCACCTCTGTCTGTATAACTGCCCTGTTCCCACCCAAATTTGATTCCTGACTGACCTTCACCCCTGAGCCTCAAGGCATGACTTTTTTCTTCTTTTGGGGTATAAAATCAAAACTCAGTATAGTCCCAAATTTGGTCTGGTTTTATGCTATTTCCATGAGTATCTGTTGTGCTGTATTGCTTCTGGTATGGTCCTCTCTGGATGACTGGGTTTCTAATCATGTACAGGAGATGTTTTCTAACCTGGGTCACTTTACTTTTACTGTGAACTATGAACACCTCTCTGTCTGAAATCCCTCTCTTACGAGGACCCAGCAGGACTAGTAAGGCAGAGTGATCTTTCGAGCCGAGTGAATTGGGAAATGGCAGCCACAAAAAGGGAGTTTTCAGCGATGCCTCTTCTCTGTGTGCACATGTCTGTGTGCAGATACTGTTTTCTGTGTAGACTGCCCTCCAGTTCTGAGCACAGCAGAGTGGAGTTGGCTGCTTCACCTCCATCATAGTCATGGGTGCAGGAGCAGGTGCACCATGAGACTGGGGGCAAGACCATCTGTGTGATAAGATACCTTTAATGACCATCAATAGTCTTTTTTTTTTTTTTTGGTGAGGGCTAAATATTGGAGTGGTCTTGGGAGACTAATAACTGAAACCTGGACTAGATGGTGGGTCTTCATGTCCTGGTCCATATAGTTATATTTATCCTGTGTTTAAATGAGAGTACGAGTGCCCAGACCATAGCAAACAAAATAGCAAGGAAGGGACTGTGCAATTCCAGGCCATCCCCAGAACACTGTGAACGCATTCCTACTGAGAGGCAATTTATATTTACTTTATGCTTGCATTGGCATGCTGTTTTACATACAGGAACCATATCCAGTCTTCCTTTCCTGATGGCCCAGAATGTCTAGTTGGAAACTAGAATGAACAGGGCATTAATGATTTTGAAGTGACTGAGATAGGCGATCTGATTCTTAGAGTTCCAGGTTACCTCGTGAATGAGAAAGCAGCCTGAGAACTTTCCTTAATCTTTGAGGAACCTCAACTCAGGCCAGGTCCAGATTCATCACTTTGATCCAGAAAGGAATTTCTGGATAGGTCAGTATGCAGCAGAATTTGAAATTCTATTAAAGATATCTTAAGCATAAAGGTTAATTCTCCAAACTATAAATGCACCCAGAAAGACATACCTAAGAGTGGTACAGGCTCGCCAAGGTAGACGAGCAGAAACTAGACATATGCAGATGTGGGGCCAAGCACCTCAGAGGAGGGTCACAGCAGTCTCAGAGGTAGCCGTGCCTGCCATCTTGTTCCTCTCAAGCTGCCCCACTCCCATTTCTCTTTTTTTTTTTTTGGTAAGTGAGATTACAGGGCAACTCCAGATACTTTAGGATCACACTCAGATCAGGCAAACAAAGAGCCTGCACAAGGGGTGTGTAAACGTTCTTTCCTTGGATCTGGGGCTTAGCGGTTTTTCGAGTCCGTGACTGGAATAGGAGAGAAGCTTCAAGCAGTTGTTAACTGTGCTGAGTTCTTAATGCCTTGCCCACAGGAGGCTTCAACCAGATTGCTGGGCGCGGGTCCCTTTCCCTTCTTAGGTCCCTAAATCCCTGTCTACCATTACCTAAGCTACAAGTCACACACACAGACACAGCATTTAAAATTTCCTAGATTCTACATTTAAAAAAATGCAGAAGATGTAAAATTAAATTTTAATAGCATAGATTGTAATTGAGGGTAAACACTTGCCCAAGGTTCAATCCCTAACATTGTTCCCTTAAATACGACTGAATATCACTATTATCTTTACCTTAATATAACAATATTTTGGCATGTTATGGGGCTTTAAAAATTCAGGTGTTTTATTTTCATTATTGCAGTTTCAAACTGCAATGTCCACTTTATCCTTACCTGGCATCTCTTGGCTTCCACACTAGATATACAGTGCTACTGTGGTGTAGCATTTGTTGGGGTTCCAACAACTGATCTACACCCTGATTCTTACTACAGCTCTGTCCCCCTCAAAACAGCCAAATCCTTTACTTCCACTGTGTGGATTCTCAAAGTTGATTATCAGGCTTGGTTTGATAGCAAGTGCTTTTACCCACCGAGCTAACCTGCCAGTCTGTCTAACTTTAATTACTGTAATGAAAGCTGAAGTGATTCCAGCTTCAACAGACGAACCTTATTTAGAAATGCTTGCTTAGCCCAAGGGATGTTCGAATCCTCTGCTAGTGTTTTAGATGCGACTAATCCCAAGAGGCATACAGATTCGGCAGGGTGATTTCACCCGCTGTGCTGAGCAAAGAAGCTGTGCTCCTAAACCCGTAACTATCTTAACTTTCTGTGCTCTGGACCACTGACCCCTGGCCAGCTACCCATGCCTCCTTCCCATCTACTTACTGATGGTTGCTGCTGTCTCTCTTTGATACAGGGAAAAGAAGCTGAAAGCCAGAGTCCAAGAGCTGGTCAGCGCCTTGGAAAGACTCACCAAAAGCAGTGAAATCAGACACCAGCAGTCAGCAGAGTTTGTTAATGACCTGAAACGGGCCAACAGGTAAAACCCCTGTGCACCCCAGTGCTCCAGCACAGGGAAGACCTTTCCTGAACTCTTGTGGGAAGTGACTGTACCTAATACAGATGACCAGAAACCCAGAAAATTAATGATAAGCCCCATTTCAGATTAGATGGACTTAGAAAAATGTGTTGTGGGCTCTACTTGACATTCCCAGTAATAAAGATTCTGAGAAGTCAAGGGAAAAAGAAATCTATTTTTGAGCCAGTGTTTTCAATTGGCAATCAAACCATCTATTGGAGTAAAACTCTATCCAGTGGAACATTGTAGGGCACTTCAGACTCCAATTTAAGAGTCTCAAACATTTGGGGTACATGATCTCATACACACACTTACACACACAAACATATGCACACGCACACATGTGCACACACATACACACACACAAACACTTCAGAGTCTGTGCCTGTAAGGTATCTATTAATATGTCTTAGACACTAAATCTGAGACAGACTTTTAAAGGTTTTTATTAATTCACAAAACTCAAGCTCAGTAGGTACCATATTTTTATGAAAAATACTATTTTTCAAATTGAATTAGAATGGCACATTTTAGTTTTATAAATATCACTGTGTACTAAGACACCTGGATTTTACAGCCCACTCTGCCATCAACATAAGACCCCCCTGAAGGAGGTTTTAGGAATCCCAGAGGGGTCTCTGTCTCTATCTCTCTGTGTGTGCGCGTGTGTATCTCCTCCCTCAAGTCACTCTTTAGAAACTCCACCTCATGGTAACAAAGTATACCTGAAGGGAGCCATATTCTATTTTGGAGCAGAAAGAATATGGAAATATACCTGGGCTCATTTCCTGCCTTCCTACTATGGTAGGCCCAGGACCAGAATCTAAGCCTATATTCTTTAGCTGATAGCATTTCCTTACAGCCCAAAGCATTAAAAAGTTGGAATATAGACCTCTGTCCCTGTCCTGGGTGAGATAACACTTTATGTAACTACACCTACGAAAATTTCCAAAATTTAGCAACCTCTTCCCTGTGTTTCAGATGAGGCCACTTTGGGCTGTTGGTTAACTCTTCTTACTGTGTTAGCTGTTGGGTAACTCCTCCTACAGCCTGGGCCTGGATTAGTATGCTTAAGCCAGAATACTAGTCCTGGGCAGGTTTATCACTGGACTTTGGATCCTTACTGGAGAGGCAGACCAAGCTCTTCAGAGTCATGCTCTCAACCTTGTGACCTGGCCCGAAGCACAGGGTGTCACTCATTCCTTCGGATGAGTCTTTACTGCTTTCCCTCTGTTCCCACACAGCAATCTGGTGGCTGCCTATGAAAAAGCAAAGAAGAAGCATCAAAACAAGCTGAAGAAGCTGGAATCTCAGATGATGGCCATGGTGGAGCGACACGAGACCCAAGTGAGAATGCTCAAGCAAAGAATAGCACTGCTGGAGGAAGAGAATTCCAGGCCACACACCAACGAAACTTCACTCTAAAAGGCAGTCTGGCACCAAGTTCTGCCCCCAAGGGGCTAACCTCGAGCAGCTCCGGAGTCCTCAGAGGAAGAAGTGCCCTAGGAAGGAGGGACTGTTGGGAGGAATTGTGGAAAGGTTGCATATAGGTCACAGGCTCTACCCCTGGGGATGTGTAGTCACAATGGCACTGTGGATTATGTATATACACGCTCCAGCTGCTCTAGGCCTGGCCACAAAGGGCATCTACAATGGCTCCCACCACAAAATTAGCCACATCTTGTTTCAGCTTTCACCGTTCAGTTCTCACTTGTTCTGTGAGGCAGTGGCAATCCAGGCATTTGTGGATTTCCAATTCCCCCCGCCCCCCAGCTTTTTTTTCCCCATAGGCTGTGGACTTTTGACACCTAGACTTCTTCCTTCCTCTTCCAAGGGAAAAGTGACAAGTGTTGTATGTCTCCAGCATCTAGGGATGGCAGCTTACTGCACAAGGCTCTGCTTTTCAGGTCCCGCGGTACCAGATTCTTGAAATACGGTCGTGAAGAGTTATTAGCTGGGAGATCCAGACCAGAGGATACACAAAGTGTTGTCACTGAGCATCCCAGACACAGCGCAGTGTCAAATAGAGCAACGTCAGAGCTGTGTGTAGACAGTTCATCTCTAGATGAATAAAAGCATCTTTCATTTTTACTTTAGAGGCAGGGTTCGGCTTCCCTTCTAGCAAGAGTACAATTTAGAATACTCTTGATTTATGTAGAGGAGCCAAGATTTTACCAGGGGTTTCTTCCAGAACAAACAAACAAACAAAAACAAAAAACAGTATTAGCTCTCACCCAGCCCAGGGTACTACATAGCTCCTATTCTGAATCAAAACCTAAGCCACTTGAGCACCTATGGACCCTGCCTCCATAAAGGTAAAAGGCGGCTTTATACTGTTGAACACCGAGGCTCTCAGTGTTGTACAAAATTGTTCCCACCTATTTAACAGAGTGTCACTGAACCTTTATTCTCTCACTGGGTGAGGGAATGGCTGATAGGCTTCCTAAGCTAACTTGGATGCAGGTTCAAAGTACCTGAACTCTGGGAAGTCTCCCAGATGCATTTAGTTCCTATTGTAGCCTTCTGCTGATCATGGATACAATTAAAGAGCAGCTTGGCTTTTTAGCTTTTTTCCCCTCCTGTAGTCTCCAATGATCTATTCATCTGCTATGAGAAATGGGTCCAACTGCTGTGGTTATCTAGGTGAAAGACGCTGCATATATGACCATGTTGTTGCTGTAGACTCCTGGCTATACGGTGGGTTACGCTTTCAGAAAGCAAACACGAGTTCCTCTGCCTTCTGTGCAACAGGGAAAGATACTCTGGCCTTCTCCTACAACAGACAGACCCGGAAGCGCAACAGCTCTTCCTTCTTAGACCATGCTAAGCTCTTCACCCAGCAAAGAGTAACATAAATATGACCCGTTTGAGCCAAGGCCTGGCTTGTGAGTGTTGATGGCTTTCTAGTCTTCTGTCAACACCTGTGACATTTTCCCTGTGCTCATTTTTGGGGTAAAGTTGTATTTTGTTATGCAGAAAACGTGTGGGTAGAAACATCTATTGCTTCTCTACTACCCCAAGAATTTAATAGGTAAAATTAGCAGTCCAGGTAAGGGATGCTTGTTAGGTTTCCCACTCTGACCATCCAGATGCAGTGATGGCCAGCAGGTGATGCCTTAAGTGACTGAGAGCAGAATATTTAGATGCAAGTTAGGGAGGGATGACGGGCTGCCTGCTGAGGTTTGCCCCCTCTCCTCAGCCTGGTAAAAATCTGAGAACCCATATTTCTAGGACCATAGTTCCTCCACAGGGAAGTCCCCAAAGCAATGATCCTACCTGGCCTCAGTCTGAGTTTCTAAGTAAATATATGGCAGCTTGGTGAAAATTTTTTGAATAAATGGGAAAGGGCTATCCAGTCTTCTTCTGTCAATGCTGGTTGAGGGTGAAGCAGCAGGCATTTGCTTCTGTGAATTACAGAAGCTGTTGAACCGCACTGATTAAATACACGATAGCAGCAGGTGCCTAGGTAATTTTCCTCTTTGTTCAACCTGGCACTTCCTGGAACCTACTTTCAAATAGGAAATGGTTTCTATTAACATGTCTATTGGGGCAAACAATTATCTTGATTTTAATTTCTATAGGGTTAAAAACCCTATACATATTTTGAATTTACTCCCTTTACTAATCAAAGCCAATTTTGATTCATAAAAAATAGGCAGAACAAAAAGGTCCATCAGGAACCATTTCATAGTTGCCCTGGGCTATACTCTCCATTCTGAACCAAGGTGGACAAACCCAGCTTGGACAGTGGTAATAGGCAAAGGAGTCATCTGTCTATGACTGGCTCTGGCACACTGCAACCAAGCCCATGTGTATCCATCAAATGTGCCCTGCCTTGTGACAGTAAGAAAGCCCCCACTGGAGTCACAACAAAGGCTGCCATGTGATCAGACAGTGGAGACCAACCCTTGTCCCTGTCATACTCCAGGTGTACATGAGAGCTCTATGCCCCGAGTGGAGGCAGAGACCTTCTATTCCCTTCATTCATTCTATTATGTGCTGATGATGTGCTTGTTGCCTGAAACTGGATGCTACCTTTAACTGAAACCTAGAAAGTTTTTTATTAGCCTAAGTGTGCATATCCTTTCAGATGCATGTATTCAGAAGGTCTTCCTCAGCACCTGCAGCAAACCTTTATAAGGGCTTCAGAGAACTCAAAAATTAGAGCTTTTGCAGAGTTCTTATAAGGAAGAGCAGCTCAAGCCACACAGCCCTGTGTGTTTTACTCTAAACACTGTTAAGAGGGGGCTAAATAAGGACCTTGCCACTGTGAGGGAGATCTGGAAGTCTTCTAGTTCCTACATATAGATAATAACAGAAAGGAAATGCTTCTGTTTGGTTTTTTCTCCATCATGGCATGGATCAAAACTACCCGGCTTCTGTATTCCTCCATACACTATGGCCCACAAAAAATTCTATGCAATGATATAAATTGTGTAAACTCCTTTAGAGCTGCCAGGAGTTAAGGTTGTATATCGTGATCAAAGTGAAGTGTAGAAAAAACAAAGCATGAAGACAGTAAGGAACCCCCGCTCTGCTCTTATTGATCCAAACACTTCATTCTGTAAGTGCTTTCAGTGATAAATGTTTAATTGGGAATATGTCCAGTCATATGAACACAGTGCCCTAAGTAAAAACAATATACAGTGTCACCTACTGAACTACACTTAGTGTTTTTAGAGCCCAACAGAAAACAAGTTATTTGGTGGCTAAAATTACTGCACTGACCTTCATTAGGATATGGTCCCAGCAGGGGTGAGGTTAGGCAGGGGTCCAAGAGATTAAGCAACAGTATTTTCCTTCGGCAGTACACTGCAGATCTAATTGTGGAAGAAATCAACTGATTTTGTTTAGCCAATAGAACCTATGAGACTTAAGTGGTGAAGGAGGACAGAGCGGCACCTTGGCCACAGCTTGCAAACTCTTCGTAAAGCAGGAATGGCTTGCTACAAAAACCACCCCTACCCTTTAAGTGTTCATGCAATCGGACTCCTAAGTTTACATAGGTCAGCTCTGAACCCATGGCCTCAAGTTTCAATTCATTTTCTAATCACCTTTGTGTTCCTCTGAGATGCTGTGACCCCCGGCGTAACTGAGCACGCTTGTAGAGAGGATATTTTCACATACGGGCAAGCATTACAATTTTGGTAATCCAATATAACTAATACACTGTCCGATATTTTGAAGATTTGTTGAAAAAGAAAAAAGCTGCATCCCAGAAGCAAGAGCCACTGTTGGGTGACAACACCCTTTGACTATTTGATCTTCCAAGTCTCTCACTGATAGTTACCCCAAGTGCCTGCTCGGCAGCACAGAGCGGGTTCTGTAGAGAATTCCACACCCACACAGATGCTCTACTGCTCTCCTCTTCCATGGATGAAATGTCGAAGAGGTTGTTTGTAAGCGTTCTTTTACAGTGCTCCTGTCAGGACACCTCCTGTCAGGAGCTTGATAATCCGAATTTGCTAGTACCTGATGCAAAGATTACAAATGTTCACTTCTATTTCTAATCTGCTTTTAGACATGTTAACTTACTTTGCATGAATTTTAACTTTTTTATTCATTGAAAATGTGCTTTCTATACCACTTGAATTAGAAAATCCTGCTTGAATGTACTGTTCCTAAGCACATGTGACTGTGTTTGCATCTGTCAGTACTGTTCTGCCTGTATGGAAAGTGTCATTTCTAAGTGGCTACTAAACACTGTACTGTACCTTGTAATTTTTAGGCTCACTTGTACCTTTAAATGTTTCCAGATGCCTTTAGTTTTTAGCTGCTGTAAAATAGCTAATTTGTGTTATTTGATATAGAATTGTTTAAAAAAAACTCCATTTATTTATACAGAGACATTTATAATATTTTACAAACGTTCTTATATTCTGAATAAATATTTCTAATTCCATTCTGTATTTGCCTTTAATTACAGAGAAAGGATGTTCTATAGAAGCATTTGCTTGCCATACATGTAAATACAAACCAGAGATGCTTACACTGACTCAGGGGCTAGATGTAAGGCTATTTCAGATGAAAAGAACAAGAAAACAACAAAATTGTCATTTATCACCAATTTTTATTTGGCTGTCTTCACATACAGCATAAACAGAAGGTTCTCTATTTAAAGTAAAAACAGGAAAACAATACAAGTTTCAGGAAGTGAATGTAAACTAGGAGACAGCAAGCAGTTTCACAGCACATCAGGAGTGTTGAAACAGACTTTCTGCTACATGGAAAGTACTTTTGATAACATAGTTACATAGCTGAGGACTCTAAAAGAACAGTGAATTTCTCCTGCCTGAGAGCCAAGGACAACGGGACATTTGGCTGGAAAGCCTGGTTCTGGCTGAAGCCTAAGAACCGCTGCACTTTACAGATCTGATTTTTATCTCCTGCCCACCACTGTACTCCTCCTTAAGAGCCAAGCTGAATTGAGATAAAGGGGATATTCCCACAAACCACTTTCATCTCTGAATAAATTCTACCTTTTATATTTCTATGAATGCAAACAACTTCTCATGTTTATCCTATACATTCCTAATCTTTTTGGTCCATAGTAACAACCTGCAATAGCCAGTAACAGCAATGACTTAGAGCTACAGAAGGAAGTAAACAGAACGGAACCAAAGGTAGAGTATAACTAACTGTTCCTAAGTAACCCGGTTTATGGGTAATTCGTTACCGACAGAATGAGACCAAAGCTAACACAGTATCTGACAGAAAGCCAATGTAAGCAGCCTCCCTTCCATCCCTGTCAGTGCATTCTTCAAGGTTATGCTTTTAGCTCCTAAACTAGTGTGGATCACATTAGAAAGCTTTTAGACGCTACAGCACACTTGTTCTCAGTGGAGAACACAGGTGTCAGTCACCCCACATCTTTGGAAGTGCAGTACTCCAGCATCATTAATTCACAGACCCGAGTCACTGGAAATTTATAGGTCACATCAATGTAGGTGAGAAGCAGTTCCAATCATTCACATACACCAAACTCTGGGGGCCGGGCACACTGAATCAATGCAGCCCTAAAAAAGGTTGTCACACTGCAGTGAGCCCAACGAGCTATTGTGGGGGCTCCTTTTTGGTTTTCCTAAATGTCTGACTAGAAACTACAATAAAGCAAATACTTTCATACTATAACAGACATAATCATGAAAGGAATTTGTTTACATCATCTTTCTCCAAATAATAAAATATAAAATGTGGTTATAAGTTAGGCAAAAATTCTATATTAAATCATTTCATGTAAGACAAAACCAATTAATGAAGAAAGAAAGTTTACAAATCTACTTATTCTAAAGCCTAGGTTTTTCACTGAACATTGTATCATTAATGAAGTAATTTCACCAAAATTCATGTACCAGCTTTTTGTAGCTTCTCTGACTCAGCACGTTTACAACTTTCCCAGACAGACTTAGAATTAGATTGTTTGTTCAGAACATCAGATCTTCACAGCATAGTGTAAACTGCTACAAACCAAAGACAGTACATAAAAATATCCAAATTCTATTCACTTTTGCACCCAAACTAAACTTCATTTTTGTTAAACATCCCAAGCCCCATTTCCCCCCACCCCCCATCCCCCAGAGGGGGTTTCTCAGTGTAATCCCTGGCTATCCTGGAACTCATTCTGTAGACCAGGTTGTCTTCAAACTCAGAGATCCACATGCCTCTGCCTCCCACGTGCTGGGATTACAGGTGTGCACCATCTCTACTGGCCTGATTTAAGACTATCTGAATTAAGAGACTATCACTTAAAATAGCTAAATATATGAACATTCATGGAGATTCATTATGGTTTCATTGAAGCTAACAGATTAATTGAATTATACATAGGTAGGTCTAGTAAGTCAATACTCATTTTTAATAACTATTATAAGATTAAAACTTATCAGCAAATATAAAAAAATAGTTTGCAAAAACTAAAACAAGGTTAATGGTTTTGCTGTTTTTCCCTATTTGCTGAACTGAAAAAAAAATTATTTAGACAATAGAAGTGAATTCTCTCTTGTCCTAATTTGAAACAATATATAAAATGAAAGGCTCAGTTCCTTGGAAGCTTGCATTTGACACTTACTAGTTACTTGTAAGATATTCAAACACCACCTAAAATGTGCTACGTAGACATGAGTGAACCGCAGATTCCTGCAAGACCAGCTCATGCTTTTCCAGGGTACCGTGCATGCCACGTGTCCAAGTCCACTGCCGCTCACACAAGTCGTACTGTGTCTCACCAGCCATCCACCAGCATCGGACACAAACCTCATGGCTGCACCTCTGCTTTCTTTCATGCTTCTCCTCAACACTGCAAAGGCTGTGGTAAACTTTTTAAAGCTTGAGAAATGGCTTTAAAAATGTACAATTGTGTCCCAAATGCTTCACTAGTCTAGAGCTACTGTTCTACACATTTGGATCAAATAATTAAAATGAGAAAGTACTCTACCTTCTACTTTAAAAGCTCCCTATCCTAAGAACCGGGTGTTAGGAACTGCTGCGCACTGCATTCTAAAGCTACCAAAGAGAACCTCAGTGTTTTCTGTGCTCCTACGCCAATTTCACTGCTATATACATTGACTTGAGAGAATACAGCCCTTCTATCTACTTGAGGCTCAGGAGTTAAAAGTTACAGCAAATTCTCATGGTGTCTGATGTACTAGAGATGTAGCACAAACAAAAAACCTGAGGATTACTGAAACAGAGACTCAAAAAGGACACTCAACAAATGAGTAACAACATCAACAAAAACCACAACCACAAGACAGATTGTAGGGCCTTACCTCCCACTAAAGAGCCTATGTCCACGAAGAGGAGCAAGAAACTGACACTCTTGTGGTTCCCTTTCCCAGAGAACCCTTAGTCAATCCTGCCCAACTAGTAGCCTCTTGAGGTGAATTTCTTTTAAACTGTGACACAGAGACAGAACCCACCCTTCTGCTACACTAAGACCCAAGATTAATGTAATCTCTTTATGGCAGGCTTCAAATTAGATATTCCACTCTGAACATGTCTCAAAATGAAGCCTCTGAGCTTTAACACCAAGTACAAAGATGTATATAGGAAAAAACCAGACGAACAAAACTCCTGACAGAACTAAGTTGACAGAAATGCCCTTACATCCAGTTCTAGAGGGTGGGCTGAGTCTTCATTTTTCAATGGCTGTAGAGTACTTCAGTGCCAAACACTGCCAGCACATCCACACAGCTATGCAACACTACACTGTCCTGTTATCAACAGCACAGTGGTTAAGAGCTCTGGCAGAGGACCTGGGTTCCATTTTCAACACTCTGAACTTCAGCTCCAACACACTTTTTTTGGCCTCCTTGGGCACCAGGCACACATGTGGTATACAAACAAATATACAGGCAAAACATACATACACATTAAAAAAAAAATTAAAGTGATGAAAACACCCCCCCCCCAAAAAAAAAACCCTCAGAGAGCCTATAGCTTGGCAGAATCAACACAGAAAGGACTTAAACACTGGTCCTTACAGTGAAAAGAATTCCATTAGCATGCATGGATTGCTAGGTGATCATACTTAGAAAACAATACTTCACCGAGGGGAAGAAAATACCTGGGAAGTGCTGTAAGGCTCTGCTCGGGTGGGGCGCTGGCCACATTTCTCACCCGAGCATCCTTCCTGGAAGCACTCAAGTGTCAGAATGTGCAGTAGTTTCTTCCTCACACCCCACCTCTCCCAGCAACTTTTGACTATCATCCCACAACACGCGTGAAAATGGCAACATCCTTATGAAAAGTCTCTCACTGCTGATCTCAATCTGCCTTCTGACACAGGCTTCAGGAGTGACAACTCTACATATATAGATAGAAGGCTGTGGAGAGGCCTGCTATAAGCCCATTTCTAGGCTTTTAAGAAACTATACAAATGCATTCTTAAGTGTTAGGACACCAGGAACAAGCCACTCTAGCCCAACTTTAGTGAGTTCTAAGGAGTAACACTACATACACAAAGGTGAAGAATACCATTAGACCCGGTAGCAGTGTCCTTTTTTGATGGTCAAGTCTAGTTACAACACGTTTGAACCTCTTCTCTCAATAATACACAATAATCCAACCCAAAAGCAGGAGGAAGAAGTATTAATGAATACAACCACGAATAATAATACAAAGAAAATACTGCCTCAGAGAACATGGACACACCAGCTGTCATTAAAATCTCCAATACAGCACACACAGACACAGCAAAGGCCAAGAGGCATATAGGAATAAAACCTGTCCAGAGAACTATCATTTCTAGGTCCCATTCTCTCTTTACTGTTTAACTAATGCTAGAGAGGCAGGACTGGTAAAGAATTTGGTAATAAAATCTTTTTTAATGCACACAGGTGCCCGTCCTTGACATTTTTAGAAAACACAGTATTTTATAATGGAATCTGATTCCTATAGTCATTCTCTTAGGTTTGCATTTTTATTGACATTACATGTAAATTATTAAAACTTCCAAAAGAAAAAGCATAGCCAAATCTTACAGCATAATATTAATCTGCTATATAGCTCTATTATCTGTAATTACTAATTAGTATTTAATATAAAAATAATGATATTCAAAGGTCAAAGCAGCAAGCAGTGACCACAATCCCTCTGACAGCTCTGGGCAATTATCTTTCACATATTGGTACAAAATCTAGTTAGATTTTCACCATGTCTCACCAATTGACTCACGCTATCAGATCTATTAGGTTATTCTGGCCCCTCCAAGTGCTCATGTCTCAGGATGGAATCTCTGATATCCCAGAGTCATTCATTCACTATTTCTCAACAAAATCTTACAGAAACTATGTAAACTGTATCGTCTGTCTCTTTGAGTACAGTGGTGAAGGACAAAGTTATTTAACATTCGTCAAACCACTGAAGTTACACATAAAAGCACCTACAAACGTATTAGACTTAAAAAGATTCACAGTGCACTGCACCTTGGAACACATGCAGTTGGATCCTAAGGATGTTTAAAAGTGATTTCAGAGTCTCACCTCTCAAACACAAATAATAAGGCCAACATATCTACTGATCCACCTAGCGTCTCTAAATGAAGCACTACGCAGAAGCACATTATTGCATACACAGCATCCTCATCACTAGATTCTATGAAGAAATGATAACATAGCTCAGAGAAGAAATCCAGTCCTGTGCTAAATATGGTCTCTCAGATAACCTGTACAGTGAAGAAGTAAGTACACTAGATATACATTAACAAGATACCAACTTAACATTTTCTGCATAGTTGAGTCGCATCGTATATCCAATCCTTAATTCCTCTTTCAACATGCTTAACTTCAGACTGTCGAGAGACCTAAAGCCTAAAGTCATCATAACTGCACCCCAACCATACCCTTGCTTTGTTCCACAGTGCGTTAAGTGAAGCAGCACACCATTGGTTGGTTCTTACAGTCAATCACTTTAGGGGCCATACCTTCTGCTAACTAATTGATTTTGCTCTAGTATTGAGAGCTGAGAATCCAACCCCTACAGGCACCAAGACTGACTGACGTGCTCGCTTAAGAAGAAAATCTCAATCATTCTCATCCTCTCTCTCTCTCTCTCTCTCTCTCTCTCTCTCTCTCTCTCTCTCTCACACACACACACACACACACACACACACACACACACACACACCACACTAAATGGTTTCTAGATGACAGTCAGGGGGTGACAGTGGCTCACTGCCAGGTAAGCTTCAGTTTTCACTCCCTTAACCATTTAACAGAAATCTGGAATGCTGGGACCAACTATAAATATGGCTCAAGAAGACCCAAGCAGAGCAGCTGTATTTCTGACAACAACATTAAGGGCTTCCAAACACAATCATATAATGCATTAAAAAACAAAGGTCACAGAAGGATTCACAAAGTAGTCACACAGAAGATTCCAAACACACTGTATCACTGTGAAGTCTCCTGCTTAGCACCGAGTGACACTTTCATTAATAAATATAATTTCTTCTTTAAAATCAGTCATTTAAAAGCTAAAGCAAAGTAGTAATACCAAGTGAATTCTTCACAATAATAGCCCTTCTTTTTAAAAGTTCCATGGGGTTAGGTAGAACCCCAATTAAATAGGCTACATTTACAGAATAAAGATTTCTATAGTGCTATTTATAAGCAGAGATATACTTTGTGGAGACCACTTGCTAAAAGCGTACACGACAGATACGTGTGTACACATGCAGTCTAACAGCCTGCTCTGCCCCAGGAAAAAGTCTCAGTGAGGTCAGGTGCAGTCAAATCGTATTGCCTCCTTAAAGCTCTGGTGATTGTCCTCAACAACAGGTGATCCTCTGCAAAGTGGGCATTGTCACCAGTGTTTGGTTTAAGAATTCTGAAGGAGCAAAATACAAATACATTCCTATGTGTGATCTAAGTACATTACTTCAAGGGTCCCCCAGTGATATGCTTTATTTACTTGTACTGGGTAAATTGCAGAACCCCAGGGGCTTCAAGATATTAATTAAAAGCATGTCACTCTGGTATTACTGCAAAGTGGAACCTTATATAATATCAGCTTCCACAGATCAACACTGAGATGCAATATAGAACTAAGACTATAGTTTTCCACACAGACACACAACTAGAATATGTATAGATGTTTCACATGAGCATAATCATGGCACAATACTGAACAGATAGAGGCAGGAAAGTCCAGGCATGACCTGGAGGAACTGTCAGCTACTGGTTCCATGCTCTCTGCTCCAGCACTCATAGGTTTTTTTTTTTTTTTTTTTTTACAGCAAACATCATAGCCCAAAATTACAGCATCAGCTCCCCACTGACTCCATCTCTCCTCAGGCTATGGGTGTGGCCCTGATGAAGTGCTCAAGGTTCACTGTGCAAATGAGTCTTGTTTTGAGGAGGAGGTGCTGAACAAACTGACAAAACTCCAGTTAGAAGGGTTAGACTCTCAGTGGTTAGACACAGAGAAATGAGCCAACGCCTGTATCCTGACATCATGGTTCAGCTCTGATGCTCAGCTCATTGATAACTAGGATTTTAAGTTCCTTTTAAAGTTTTCAATAAGCAAGTTTTTTGCAATCACCAGGATGGGGAGGTGACATAATCCTATTAACATGGCTATTTGCTGATGATGCAATCAAAACAAGTCTTGATCAGAATATAAAACAAAACACAATCACGCAAAGTAAGGGAAAGACAATAAAAAACAAACAAAAACAGAAACCAAAAAAACACAGGCAACTAAAACTTGGTTCCAAACACTGAAACGGTAAATTCATATAAAAAGTTCTAACTGCATTTACAGTGCAAACTTGTGTTTCTTTCTAGTTTCTCTTCTGTACAGAAAATCTCTTTAGAAACATTGCCTCCCTGCATTTCTTTCAAATACCTGAGAAAGGTAAGGCTTGAGGAGACACCCACTCACATGCAACAGGTCCCAGATTGGGGGACTTCTGCAATATACTTGCTGGATCAAAGGTCCAAGATTTTCATGATAGCATTTTGGTCAAACTTGAAACTCAGAAAGGTTCTGGATGAAAATGGGAACTTGCAATGTCCATTGCACGCTACAGAATGTCCTTCAGCATGTTCTACCAACGGGTCTTCACCAGAACAAGGCAAGTCACATGTGGCATCTGCTTAGGAAACAAAATGAGTAGACAATAATTCAGAAAGTTAACCAGACATTGTCTTTCACCCACTCACATAGGGAAACTCAGATGGATTGTGTATTAAGTCTTTCTATAATCTGACTCAATCCTGAACACCTCACCTGAGGATTCAATGGAATGTTACCGATTATTTCTATTTATTTCTATTAATTCAGATTTTTAGCTTACCTTTTAAGACCCCTGCTTTCAAAATGAGCATATTTTTAGCTCTTATATTTGTATTAATTAATATAAAAATTACAATTAAAAAGCTGTAAAGATTAGAAGTATAGGAAAATACAGTTGAAGTTACCAAGTTTTAATAGAATAAAACAGAAAACCTCAAAAGCTTTTTGACCATCAGTCTTAGCAATGCCTTTTGTACGTAGTACTAAAGTCAAAAGAAACATGAAAACACATCAATTCTGAATCCTAATGATAGGCCCCATGTTTAAAAGACAAGCATAACTTTCCATAGTAAGGTTAGAGCATCTTTGCTCATTTTTTAATCTGTGTGTTCACATCATGTGAGAGCATGAGCACATGCATGTCAGGGAGCACACATTTGGGTCAGATGATAACCTCATGTATCATCAGTTCATGCCTGTCCCTTGAGATGGGGCCTCTTGGATGCTTCTGCATGGGCCATGCCCAGGCCAATCCCAGGAGCACTGGGATTAAACATGTGCACTGCCATGCATGGCTACACAAGGGTTTTAGGGCTACCTTCTCAGACCCAGAACATCTCTGTCAGACAGTTTTCGTTTTCATTTATTTTAACGATTGGTTAAGTCAAGTTACTAAAAGGTCTGACTCTGGTGTCTGCAGTAATGCCTTCATACTCTGCTCCTAGAGATGGAGGCAATTCAATTAACCATCTCAAGACTGTGCCATCAATGAGTCATTGTTGGATTTGCATGTGAAAATTGTCTTTAAATATAAAAAAAAAAAAGAAAATAATGTTCCTCATTTCTTTGTATTTTTTTGTTTTTGAAACAAGGTTTTTCTACACTGACTCTTCTAGAACTTGTTCTAAAGATAAGGCTGGCTTCAAACTCAGCGATGCATTTGTCTCTGCCTCCTAAGTGCTGGGATTAAAGGCATGGGCTACCATGCCCAGCATTCTTCCCTTCTTAAGAGTTTTCAGTATGAAAGATTTTGGTTTTGATGGACATGTAACCACAGCACAAGGAAACTTCATACTACTCAGATTGGCACCTAAGAAGAACAGTGTACGACACTTTTAAGTGACATTTGCTAGTCAAACATCAGCGGCACGAACATAACTTTCATATTCATTATGGTCAGTTTCTCTGGTGGTCTGAGTGAGAGCTGTCTGTAAGCTCGCGTTTGCATGCTTAGTCCCCAGGTGAAGGTGGAAGGAGAACGGGGTGCCCTTGTTATCACATTCCCCACTCCCCATCCCAGTAAAGCCAGTGTTCCTGGGGACCCAGGGCCAGACAGTTACAAAGGAAACAGGGCACTTAACGTAAGTGATGTTATCTGGATCACTTATTAGTAATTCCTCCCAGCCTGTTTCACACATGAAATCTCTGCAGCACACAGGCAGCTCATCCTGTGTAACATCACCGCCACAAAGCCCACAGATGTCATAGCCCCACAGGACAGATTTTAAAAAGGAAATAGCTTACCTGTCTCAAAGTTGTCCTGAAGCTTTCGTGGATGCAGCTTCTTTTCACATTTCTGTTAGAACAAACACATGAACAGCACAGTCTCTTGTTACTCTTACTTATGAAAACTCAAGAGATACATGATCAAACATCTCAAGAAGAAAATTAAACTAGGAATCTAATCATCATCTCCAGTGGGTTTCCATAAAGCCCAACTTTTCAGCAATGTGGAAAACATATACCGGCTATGAATACTACCGTGTACAGCCTCCCACCTTTGCACAGGACTATTTCACAGCCCCTCCCGTTATCCCAGTGCTAGGAATCAAACCTGGGGCCTGCCATATGCAAGGCCTGCATAGCTCTGCAGTGAACAGCATTCCCCAGTTCTAACTGCGTGTGAGCAACATTCCTTCCTGACAAGAGCAGACCACTACTGTCAGGTCTGCTGACTCAGGGATCTACTGTAGAGACCCACAATCCTGCACCATTATAATACCAACTTCTTGGAAATTTACATCTTTTTCCTGTTTTCATAACAGAGAGTAAAGGGAGGAATTTTGACATTTAGCCTCTCGAAAAATAAGCAATTTTTCAAGTTTTACTCCGTAAAAACAAGTAGCAAATCCTACACTTTGTCAATATACTCAGTAACACAGCATTCAGCAAACTTCATCTCTGCCTGCCTATGGGGAAGGCATTAGCACATATTAACAGCTGTGATGTGACTTACAGGACAGTGTCATTACACAGCCCAGGCTGGCCCTAAACTGGAGAATCTTGTCTGTGATTTGCATGGCTGACCACTGTGACCTCTCACAGACCATCCTGCTTTGCATGTATTGTTTTTCCTTTAGAAACTTAAAAATGTTTTAAAACTTTATTATTAAAAAAATTAAAACAAAACACCAAAACACCACAACGCAGCAAATCCTAAATCTGTGAGTTAGAAACTAAAAAGAGAGTCCACTTCATACCCTGTCCATCAGCACACACAGCCCTTGCTCATCCACTCACACTTCTACAGTATAATGTAGGAAGAACAACAAAGACTAAATACTAGGGCATAGAAAAAAAAAAAAAAGCTCAAAATTTTCCAAGCAAATTTGTCATATCACATTTCAAAAACAAATGGAACTTTTTAATGAGTTAAATATACATGGTAACTTGGTAAGAGATATCAGCATAGCATTATCATTAAAGAAGTATTTTCTAATTTTTGTTAGAAGTCTTTAGAATGTCTATTGTTGATAGTCTTGTTTTTGGTAACAAATAAACGTGTGAGAAGTCTGACAATAAACAGATAAACTTTAGTTTACTGGTGGAGTTGATATACCCAAGTCAAGTAACTCTAGGAACTAAGTATGTAAATAGTTTTATGTCAACCTAACACAAATTAAAAGTCATCTGAGAGAAGGGAACCTAAAGAAATGTTTCAGTAAGATCCGCTGTAGGCAAGTCAGTAGGGCAGTTTCTTAATTAGTGATCAGTGTGGGGAGGCCCCGCTCAGCGTGGGTGGTGCTATCTCTGGGCTGGTGGTCTTGGGATCTATAAGGAAGCAGGCTGAGCATGCCATGAGAAGCAGGACAGAAAGCAGCACTCCTCCATGCCCTCTGCATCAGCTCCTGCTCTAGGCTTCTGTCCTGCTTGAGTTCCTGTCCTGACTTCAATGATGGACTGTGATATGGAACGGTGAGGGAAATAAACCCTTCCCTTTCCCAGCTGCCTTACTCACTCACAGCAACAGTAGCCATAACTAAGACACTCAGGTTAACGGGTTTGTTTTGATTTCTTTTTTTTTCATCCAAAGTTTAAAGTTTCTGACATAACTCACTTTCTTAAAGACATGGCAAACAAGTGATATAACAAACAGAAAGTCCAACATACAAGTGTCAAGACTTTAACGAAAAAGATTAGTAAAGATGCTAAACTCTCTTCTAGAGAAAACTTTCTCTGAAATTTTTAACTGCAGTTTCAGGATGGATTACAAAACCAGTAAGATGATCTCACAAAAGGAAGCCGTGACTAGAATGGTGTTGATGAAAGAGGAGGAGTAGGGAACACAGAAGAATGGGAGGAGAGTGAGTTATGGCTATTAAGTTACAGCAGGATGTGTTGTTACCCAGAAGCATCCCAATGAACAGTAACAATGTAAACTGTATTTCAAAAGCTGGAAGAAAGAAACATCAATTACTATGTTTCCTTATGCCCCAGATTGGTCTCATTGTCAGGCTTCATTTCTTCAGGCCTCAGTCTCCCAAGCACTGTGCCAGCATGTCAGGCTTAAACTTTTCACTATAAACATTGCACGATATATCCATATATTGAGGCATATGGCACCCCATAGATATCTAAATTCTTATGTACCAACTAAAAGTAAACAAATTCAATTAACACCTTTAAGATTTATTTGTGTGTATGTGTGTATGTGTGTGTGTGTGTGTGTGTGTGTGTGTGTGTGTATACACTACATGTGTACAGATGCCCAGAGAAGCCATAAGACAGCATTAAATCTCTGGGAGGCAGTTAGAGGCACATGTGAACTGGATTTGCAGCCTCTCAGGAGCAGAAGGTACTCTCAGCCACACAGCCATTCCTCCAGACTTCTGAACAACGGGTTTTCAGGAAAAAAAAAAAAAAAAGCTTGTTTCTACTATAGTGTTTTCAAGACTTTAAAATCAAGGTAAATAAAACCACACAAGTCAAAAGTAGAAGGGTACCTATAATTAAGAACGGCCAAGGAGAGTTGTAAGCTGTAGTTCATGAAGACAATAGTGCAGAATTAAATTTTATAAAATCCTATTGCTAAAAATCAAATAAAAATAACAACTAATTGAGCATTACTGTGTCTAGACAATGCCTGCTCAGGTCTTAGAAATAAGAGCTGTCTACTGGGCACATGAGCACACAACTCTTACCATCAAGGGATTCTGTTGCTTCGCTGGCTGACCGTGAACTCCGTTCGCTCTCTTCTTTTGATTAGGTGAGTCTTGATACTGTTTTCTGCCATTCCCTCTCGTATTTTGATTCTGTTAAAATATGAATAAAAATAACATGTAAATCTACAATTTAAATCACACACACACATATATAATTAATATATATATATGTATCAATGTTTATCTCGATTGAATAGAATTCATAAAGAGCCATCTGAATGTTTATGCAGTGCTGTACCAATTTATTTTCTTAGAAGACTGCTTTGCAAAGGAACATTCTCTGAAACAGGAAATAGCTAATATATTTTTCCCTAAGTCCTTTCCAAGCCTCTTGCTTTATCCCATGTTTGCTTGTAAACTGCTTATAAAAACATGGTGGGGTACAGCTCAGAGGTAAAGTTTATGTAGAGCATGAGGCTGCACAAACTCCAGCATGAATATAAAAGAAGAAATGAAAGGCACGGGAACAGAGGACACAAGAGGATTGTGGGAGACCGAGCTGGGAAGAGAGGCCAGAGCACACATGAGCACACACACTAGGCTTCCTTTCTTTCAGGCTTCTTTCACATCACACATGTTGATGTGACTGTGTCAGTGCGGGCAGTGTGCATCAGTGTGTGGGACTGTGTGTAAATCAATGGGACTGTGTGTCAGTGAGGGGCGCAGTCAGAGAACATCACTGCAGACTCACCTTTCACCTCCTTTTACCTTTGGCCTCTGCACGGGTTCCAGAATCATACTTGGCTGTCAGGATAGTACATGTTAAGCCACCCTCCAAGTCCCCACAGTTGTTTACAGTATAAATTAAGCAGTAGGTACAAGCAGTTAAACTATTATAAGCAAATGAGTGCCAAAGAAAGGATAATCTTTCACAAAATGAAGATTGGTATTTTAAAAACCTGGGCTTTTAGTCTTAACTTTAGATACTTTTATTCAAATGTCAGTTTCTACTTCAGATTTTGAAAGTCAGCTATTTTAGAAAATGTGACTAATGAATGTAACTAATAAAGACATTTATCTTCATTCTACCTTCTCACAGAAAACATGGGGGAGCTGCTGAGACAACTGGCAAGCAAGACAGTGGCTCTCAGCCTCACTTTTCTCTTGGCAGGGTTTCCTTTCCTGTGCCGTGCTTTTCTGTGTAACTCGGTGGCACAGGCCATGTTTGTCAACACCAGCAATACTCTTTGTGCCACACCAGAGCCTTTTCTGCTGCTGTCTGACTCTTGTGTAGTTCTGGAGAGCTAACATCTAGGGAGGTCCCATGCTGCCACACCCTAGCACACTTTCCAAACATTTTGTCTTCAAAACAGAACCTGTTGCAGACAAAAAGGAACTACTCATGAAGCCTGCACTACTTGCAGCCATAATTACTACTTAAGTACCTTGTGCTCATTCTAGGCACAGGACATGGAACCATGTTTTTAGACCTTTGTTCCACCTTATTTCACTCAGCCAATGTTTTCAAGGGTCATATAGACTGTAGATGGCTCAGAATTTACTCTCTGAAGTCTGCAAACAGTCCAGGGCACGTGCTATGAATGATACTGTGAAACTCTCTATCCGAGCCCTGTTTTTGGTTCATTTGTTTATCTATGTAGGTGAGGAGTTGCTGAGTGAGGTGGTGAGTCCACAGGTAACTTGTGGGAAGCCACTAAGCCACCTCATAGCAGCTGTTTCTTTTTACACTTCCGAGAGCACAGCACAAAGGAACCTGTTCTCTGCACCCTCACCTACAAGGATGATTTTCTGTGTGCTTGGTTTATTACCATAGCCATTCTGAGGTACGGAATGTGACCTCCATTTCCCAGCATGACTGTTGAGTTGTGTCTATACTTAACTGCCACCTGAGCCTTCTTTAGAGAAGTGACTGGTCAAATGTCTTCAAACAGGGTTGGGTTTTATAGAACATTTTGGTGGCTACTATTCTTGAGGCAGCAATCTAGAAACCAATAAAATGTTCCCTAAATGCATAATAGATGAACTGTGGTACAGTCAACTACTGCATGATACAGCACTGAAAACATGTTATAACATACATAAACAAAAGAGCCTATTCATCTTAGCTCAGAATTGTCTTCTTTAAGACTTTCCACTGGTGGACACATTAAAAAGGCTCAAGTGTAACATCCCATTATTTACGATATTGGATTTATTCCAAGGCCTTGAAGGCTAACGAGTCTCCAGTCTGTTCCAGTCACAAGATGGAACCCTGGGTGACATCTCAGCTCCACTAACTGTTACACACAGTACCTCAGCTGAAAATGATTTTGAGTCAAATGATCGAAGCCTCTGAACAAATTTCAGTGTCATTCACTTACCTTTGCTTTGAAAAGGTCTGACAGCTCCGTGTGGTTACTGTGTGGCTTCTGCTGTAGCGGCGGCCTGTGCTTCACCCACTGGTCACTAGGAGAACTTTCAGGAAACAGCTGCTGGCTGTGGCGGAATTTTGTTCGACTACACCAACATTTAAAAAATACAATGAAAAAATTTTTTTCTTGAAGTTCTTTGAAAGCCTTGATAGTTTAACCTACCAACTATATGCTTTACTTTTCAGTTTCTACCTTTCCCCACTGTAATTTTAAGTTACAAAGGCAGAAAAAAATTTTTTTTCAAGACAGGGCATCTCTGTGTATCTCTAACTAACCTGAAGAACAGGTTGTCATTAAACTGAAGATTCACCTTCCTCTGCCTGCTGAGTACTGGGACTAAAGTCATGCACTACCACACCTAGTTTGAAGCAGAAATTTTGATTACTTTGCCAGCTATATTTCCCCGTCTTTTAGACAAGTGACTGGTATTAAAAATATTTCTTACATTAATAATCCATCATTTTTATTCCAGGCTTTTATACCATCCCTTCCCTATAAGCAACTATATTCTAAAACTTTAAAGAGTTCTTTCTATACATTTAGTTGAAGCAAAGAAATATATATGTGGACTTTTCTTAATAGGATAGAAAACACATTCTTTCCAGATGTCTCAGTAAGGGATCTGACTAAATAGGGTGGTTATAGACCCTACCAGTGTTAGGTGAGATCTGAGAAACTAGGTTGCTTTCTAGAGCAAAGCTCCTTAAACCACGAGAGATTCAAAACACTGCAATGGTAAAGACTTCCGGATGTGAGAAAACCAGGTTAATGCTAAGCCTGATGGCCACTGACTCGGAGGTGCTTCTGCATTGTTCCGTCACCTAGCTTCATGGCAGCCTTTGTTCTGAACATGCAGCACACACACTTTGTATTGAACATGTCATCAAGCCAGGAACACTGCAGAACACTGCATGGAAGATCTCTGCTTAGACTAAAATATGTTGTAAGCTTACTATATGTGCAGTATAGCTTTCACTCTTACACAAAGAGAATGGTTTTGCTATTGAGGGCAAAGACTCTCGGTGTTTTCCTACACCCCAGCATGAATGTATCAAATCAGTTCATCTTTGATTGTTTTCCATTAGAATGCTTCATCTTGGGTCCGACAGCTGGCTTTGCTGTGCAAGCCCAGTGCTCTGAGTTCAAGCTTTGGAACCCTAGGTGGAAAGACAAAAGTGACTCCGAGAGGTTGTCTTCTGACCTCTACTGGCTTGCTTGCCTGCCTGCGCACATATGCATGTGCACACACACACACACACACACACCCCTAAATTAAAATACTTCTTTTTGAAAACTGCTGCCTGAGATGCTTGCTTTAGTTTCATGAAAATTAGTTAAATGAATCTTGGCTTGGAGTTAGGACAAAATCTATAAGAACTCTGAAAGGGTCCTAAGCGTACACCTTCTACTTTGCATTGTATATTTATATACACAAGGCAGTGTTTCTAAGCACTGATAAGCAGATATTAGGAAGTACTAGTCAACTCTGAAAAATGTTAGAGACATGTTCTATATCATTTCTTGCAGTAAAAATATTTATCTAAGATTTAATTCATTTTTCTTTTTATTTCCTTTTCCTTGTAGCCCTGGATATCTTGAATTTAGGAAACCTCCTGACTCTGCCCCTGGAGTGCTGGGATTAAAGGTGTGTGCAGCTATGCCCAAGACTTATTTCTTCTAGTAAAAACAAACACATCTATCTCTTTAGTATGCAAATTTGCTTTAATCATAATGAATAGTAAAACCATACTATGTATGAAAAAAATGTTCTAAGATAAATGTCTTTGGCTATCAGTGTAAGTTTGATATGTATATCTCCTTTATATACTTATGCTTATAATTGCCTAAATGTTTTATAGGCAAAAAGGAGTCATGATGAAGGAGGAGGTGAGAAGATGAAGTTTAAGAAGGCCTACCCTACAGGGAAAACATAAGTGTCACCAAACAAGGGAGAAGTAAATTAACAGATGATGATCCAACCTTGACCTGTCATGCAAAAGAACTGGATTCGGATTCTCACAGGCCCCACTGGCTGAGTTGTAATGTATGAAATTTCAGACAGCATCCCGTATCTACAGGTAAACACTCCTCTAAAGAACTACAGGGGAAGAGTATCAGACTGCTCTCAGATCCTTTTCCCTTTTTCCATTTAACACATGGAAAGATGGACATCATGGCTCTAGACTATAATTACAGCACTCAAGAGGCTGAAGCAGGAGGATTGCTCTGTCTGAGGCTAGTGTGGGCTACATGCTGTGTTCTAGAGCATTCTGGCCTACAAAATGAGACCTTGTCTCAAGGTATTTTTAAAAACCAAATTGGAGTAAATCTTAAATAAAATGTATTTTCTATCTGTCAGACAAAACTGTGACATTTTTCTCCAACATCACAGAATGTGACTGAAAAAAATACTGCTTCTAAAGGAAACATAGGAAGCAGCTGGAGTTTACACAACGCCCCTCTCTATACTAATAAAAGCAGAACCACGCGGACTAAGAACGTCCACATGCAGACTGGTGGAGATCTTCCCAATGATGCACTGTCTCCATTAATGACTTCTGGGTAATATCTGTTTTATACTCTGGGACTCACTCTGGTCTTCTTGACTTCTGCCATGCTCTTTTCTTATTTCTATTAGCAGTGCCTTATAATAATAACACTTATAGATTTTAAAAGACAGAAATGATTTTTTTTTTTTTTTTTTGGTTTTTCGAGACAGGGTTTCTCTGTGTGTAGCCCTGGCTGTCCTGGAACTCACTCTGTAGACCAGGCTGGCCTCGAACTCTCAAACTCAGAAATCCGCCTGCCTCTGCCTCCCAAGTGCTGGGATTAAAGGCGTGCGCCACCACCGCCCAGCCAGAAATGATTCTTAAGGCATTTAATCCAATTTCTTTTCCTCATAAAACCAATGGAAATGGAATAGTACTTATTTAAAATTTATTAACCATAAATGTAGTCCAATCATATTGTTTTTTTTTTAATTAAATTCCTAGATTAAAAAGATCACCAAATTGGAACAAAAAATGTAAAACAATAAACAAAACAACAACTCTGGCAATATAATCTATAGCAAACTGCTTACAAGAATATAAACTGCTGGACGGTGTGGTGCCAGCTTTTAATCCTAGCACTCAGAAGACAGAGGCAGGCAGATCTCTGTGAGTTTGAAGTCAGCATGGTCTACAGAGCGAGTTCCAGGTCAGCCAGGTCTACACAGAGAAACCCTGTCTTAAAAACAAACAAACAAACAAACAACCAAAACAACAACAAAAAAGGAAGAAAAGAACATAAACTCAGGTCAGTGAGAGGAGGCGGGTAAAGGTGTGCAAGCCAAGCCTGATTATTACTTAGTTTGATCCCAGGGACCCAGGTGGTAGAAGAGAACCATTTGCAAGGTGTCCTCCTCACACACATACCATGGTATACACACAGCTATACACTTACACAAAATAAATAATTTAAAAATTATACAGTATGCATAATTTAACAAAGCTACTTCACAATTAGCTTTGTCCTAAGTTCTCCTCAAGCAAATGTTATTGATAGTTTACACCTGTGTATACTGGTCCCTCTTCCTATCACAGCCAACAGCAGGCTGTGAGACAGGTATCCTAGTCTAGTTGGTAAAGTACTTGCTGTACAAACATGAGTTAGATTCCCCAGAACCTGTGAGAAAAAGCCAGTTGTGCTGATGTGTGTTTGTAATCCCACAGCTGGGGAGGCAAAGCAGGCATAGATATCCTTGGGAACTCTAGGCCAATGAGAGACTGTTTATCAAAACAAACTGAATGACACAGGAGGTTGCCCTTTGCCTTCCTCATATGTACATATGACCATACAGGCATGTGAACATACACATTCATATGTATACAAATTCTGTCATATGCATACAAAGACATATGTCACTGACTTTAACAAATTATTCATTAGCATCTCTTACCTCCTGTGCAACAGAGACTGCAATATATCCATTCAATCACCTCCAGAAACTAACTAACTTATCACTAACGTAGGGTAGTAGATGTCCAACACAGATTTTTTTCCCTTTTCCTAGTGTTCTAAGCCATTGGTATCCTCTCAAGTGTACTATTTTAAAACTGTGCCCGAAGCATCTTCCCTCTGATTAATCCCTTTCATCTTATTAGCAACTTTTAAAGCACAACACAGCTTCTAAGGAGGAATCTTACACTTCTGACTCAAGAAGCAAGATGGTACTGTACTAAGAGACAGCAGACAGCCACACTCTGATGAGCGCATTTCTTTACCTCAATTTTTCAACGGTGGGTCTAGCTGGTGTGCTACCAGCTGAAGAAAAACCATTATCGCTGTCCGAGGAATCTCCAAATCTTCGAGACAGCCAGTCCCTTAGTGGTCTATGGAAACATTAACATTCATTAAAAAAAGAGAAAAATCTGAAATAGCAGCAGTAGGGTCAGTTTTACAGTTAAGAACTGAACATACCTGATAAAAGGAATGGCCATAAAAAACTTATTAGGTGCCAAGCCAAGCTTGGACTTGGGAGTCATATCATTTCTATGACAGGGTAATTTCTCAATGGAGAACCACTCAATATTCTGAAACAAAACAATTGCATTTAGTTGATTACTATCAACGAGTAGCTAACACCAACTCCACAGCAACCTATAAATATTCTCAACTCTTACATACCCTAATTTCTCTTCTGGTTTTGGGGTTAAATTTTGTGTCTTTTGGAACTCCTGGAATGATGTACAAGCGAGCAAGCTGGTCATTGATTCGAAGCTCAATGTAATCATCCTTACAGATGTAGTCTTTTATATCAAAACCAGTTTCTTCGAAGACCTGGAAATAAATGTTGATAAAACTGTTTGATTTTTAATCATTAGAGGCAGAAGGACCAGGAGTTCAAGGACAGCGTGTTACATAGTTGAGACTTGTATCAAAACAAAACAAAGACATAAGGCTAAATCTAATCTGTAGTTAGAAAATTAGAACCAAGCTCCCCCTTTATGCTAATACAAGTAAAAATTAAACAGATTAAATGTCAATAAACTATAGGCAAAGGATGACTAACAATCTGGTTATCAGCCAAGACTTAGTTGGTACTCTGCTTTTAGACAGAGCTTTTCTATTGTACTGTAGCACCACCAAGTGGTAGAAGGACAGGCTGCAACTCTAGAACTCTCAAGTCAAATACACTCAAAAAGGCAACCACAGGAACTCAACCTTAACCAACCTAAGTTGAAACCACTGCGATTGGATTTGAGGGGTAAAGGCAGGGTAGAGGTAATTAAGTGTAAATGTGCATAATCCTGATCTTGTTTAAGAAAAGACCCTAGCAGCTCTTTGGACATGTACAGGGAAGCCCATGTGGACACGCAGCTGGAAACTGGATTCCAGTAAGTCAGGAAGACAGCCTACAATGAAACGCAATTAGTGTAGCCTCAAGCTTGAATCCCTACTCTCCAGATCTGCTAAGAAGTAAACTTCTGTTGTTCAAGTTACCCAGTCAACTGTATTAAGTCAACTCAAGCAGACTAAACAGTAGCATCCCAGCGAACTCCCCAAATTTTTAGCTCTTTATGACAGAGGTGATCATTTAGAAATCAAGATTAAAAATCAAGGCTTGCTTTTAAAATAATCTACTGACGGGAAAATCATTTGCCCAAGGGGCCACTGTTTCCTTATTTAAGTTCCCATAACCATGACAGATCAGTTACAGGGGATCCAGCAGATGCTGCAGTTGGAGAACCCTAGTCCAAGGCCCATAACTGAAAGAAGCAGAAGCAGGAGCCCAGGGTGATGTTAAACAGCAATGTCAAGGCTGAGGACAAACAGTCTGAGGCGGAGGAGGCTGCAGCACTGAAGTGGAGGAGACCCAGGAGACAAATGCCTCTTGGCCTTCACCTGTGATGTCAGGCTGGATGTCTTACTGAACAACTGGGCAAAAAACGGCAAGCATGTTTTGCTGGGAAGCTCTTGTGAAACTAGAGGCCTCAGCAAGGCTCAGGTTCCATCAGTATAAAAAGCATTAAATTTTCTCTCTATGTTGCAGGAGGTCCCTTTAGTTTTGGAGTAGTAAACCTTGTTTTCCGTAAAATTGGTACTCATCTAGGCTGACAACATTTTAGTGATACTCCGTGGTCTGTTTCCCTTTCCAGTGTGTTCTCACAAGCACTATATATCAGTGTTGATCTTTTTTTTTCTTAGTCAATAACTAAGCAAACAACTCTAAAGGAATTAAGTTTTCCCCTTAGACTTTAAGTCAGGGGTCTATGTCTCTAAAAGGGCAGTAGTTATTTGTAGCTTGTATAAAACAGCAGGCTGAGTTACTGTAGTTCACTGTGCAATTAGAACACTAACACTAATGCTTGTCCTGGCTGCTGCTCGGTTCCTGTATCTTTTAAAAAAATATTTAACTTTATGTATATGGGTGTTGTCTGCATGTACATCAGTGCACCACCTGTGTACAATACCCGAGGAGCCCAGGAGAGTGTCCTGAGATGAGAGTTACAAACAGCTGTGAGCCACTGTGGTGTTAGGAAGCGAATCTGGCTACTCTGAAAGAGCACTCAGTGTTCCTGAGGGCTGAACTCCAGTTCCTGTTCCTCTAAGTCAGAAAACCACAACTAGTTATGTTTTATAACCCATACATTCCTTCTGTTTTCAAAAGATTTATCCATTTGCAATTATTTTTTGAGTGCCTATAAGGTAGCAGTCCAAAATATACACATAGCCATACCATCAGGAGTGCCTGGCACCCTAAACAGGACAAGCAAGGAAGCCCAGAGACACTGTGGTTGGTGTCCACAGTTCACAGGCTAACTGCCCTTTCTTCTACATGTTAGCAACTCTCGACAACACGACCTTATCAGACCAAGGGTGTGGGTGTGGACACAGATGGATTCCTTGGGTTCTGAGGTTCTTGCTCAGTTTTATAAGCAGAGGTATTTATTGGACTTCCCCATGGAGGTCCAACTAGACAGAGAGCTGACACCACACAATTTAACCTCAACTTCTACTTACTGAAGGGTCTTTCTGGAAGCAGACATTACCAGTCATGAGGTGGTCAACTACCTACAGACCTACACACACACAATTTCTTTAAGTAGGACACCATAGCTCTTATTCTTTCTCCTTAGAAGCAAGCTTTATGGTTAAAGGCTTGAGGGTATAAAAGGAAAAATTTTTTTCATAAACTTTGACTGGTATCCTCTATCCTCTACAGAGGGTAAAAGGAAAAGCTGTTAGAGGAGGCGGTAACTCCTCACGACTCCAGCTTTCTGAGCTCTGTTTACCTGGTACTGGAAACTGAACTGAAAGCCTCATACCCCTTGGCAAGCATTCCAGTGCTGGTACATTACATTTTGCTCCTAGCCTAGCTTTCAGTTTTAAGAGCTACTCAACCTTTATTTATTTGTATAGGACTGTTCTGTCTGCAAGCTTCTGTATACACTGTGGATAAGCTGTTTAATCTTGAATTGAAAATGTAGAACCTCCAGCTATGCTTCCAATGTTACTCCAAAGTAAATAACCACTAACCTTTTTTCCAAGGTACATACACAGCTGTAACACTAAATTCTACTGGTGTGTGTTTACTGCACACCAGTGTTTTCTTATGTGTGCAGATGTAGATGCCTGAAGAAGAAGTCAGGTGTCCAGCTCTATCACTGCCTTACTCTTTGACATGGTCTCCCATCCAGCCTAGAGGCTGGCAAGCCTGTGGTTCTATCTTTACCTCCTGAGCCATCGTTCTGAGCCGTTTCTCTAGCCCATGATAGCTTCTATAAAGACAATCTACACAAGTGCTCTCTGACCATACTCACAACCTGCATCCTCCCTTTCCTCCCCAGCTCCTTTTGGCATTTCCAGTCATTCCCTGAACCTTATTTTTTTCATGCCCTATATATATGCATGGTTTAATGGATCAACATAATGTCTAGGGTTCCCAAAGGAGAGAAATCATATTTGTCTTTTTGGGTCTGACTTAATATGATGACCTCTAGCTGCAGATATTTTTCTGCAGTTGAGATTTTACTTATTGAATGTACATTGCCAGCATGTACATAAAAGCTGGGTACACACTCCAAACTATGTTCTCCTGCTTGGGCAGCAGGGACCATGCACAATGAGCTAAATCCCAAAGCCTATACAGTGGCTTTTAAGAACTGTATTGTCTTCTTCACTAATAAGCTATACCCAAACTAAAACCAGGCAATAAATATCACTGTATCAAACAGATACCTCAAAACCATCTCAGAGTCACATTTCTGATGTCTTCCCCTCAAAGTCAAATAGGCTTTTGACCATGACGTTCTTAAAGAGACTCTCCTTAAAACATTAGAGTGGTTAAATGGCTTGTCCACAGTAGCTAGGCTTGTACATAAATACAGCCTAAACTAGAACAAATTTCAAGGGTCAGGTATAATATGCTGTAGGATAAGGAGCTAACTGCAGACTAGCCATATATTAAAGACAAAAATGGCAAACAACAGTTGCTGTTTGAGTTCAGAGACCATTATGGACTAGTAATTGGACTAGTAAATGGACCATTATGGACAAGTAAATGGAATTTTTAAATAAGGTAAAGGAGAAATCACTCTTTCTGAATTTTACCTTCCTTATAATGCTAATAATAGGCAACAGAAATTCAGAGGAAATGATCTTCCGAACCTGGCTCAGACTCTGTTTCAGTTTAAACTAGGATGCCTCAGGAAAGCACTTGGCCACCCGCTCACAGTGCTAGTGGAGTCTGTAGGAGGAAGCTCTGGCTGCTAAGCGCAGGTGAGCAGACCTTTGAAGTTTAAACCAGCCCTGGCTCTGACCATGAGCTGAGCCCCTAGGTTCACCACATGAACAAGCACTGGCACTGCCTAAGACACCAGGAGCCACACTGTGCCTGCTACACCTTCCTCATGTTGGACCCAGGCTGTCAGTGAAAGCCAAAGCCAGTTCTTCCTCCATCAACTTATTTCTGATCCACCAAGCTAGAGTCTGGATTGGCAAGGATGGTTTGGGTAGGAATGATAGTAGTCAAATTTTGGAAATAACCAATCAAACTCAGAAGACAAGGAATAAGTCTCTGTCCTTTAACAGCTAAGCTGCGAATGGAGTAGGATTTTAAAAACTTTATCTTATAGGCCAAGTATAAAGCTAGACTGAGTTTTGAGGTGAAAAATGTAAATTTCTTAGAAGAAAATCCAGATTGTTAATTTTTCTGGATTATAAAAAGGAAAAAGAGAGAATAAAGAATACAGATAGAAGTTGAAATATTTTTCGAAAAGAAAATCCAATTTTAAAGCAAAAAGTGGAAAGAAACCATTACAAAGAACAGAGCCAGATAGATGCCTTAAAATTACAGTGAGGACAAATGGCCCAAAACAGTAGAGACAGAGGTAGAGACAGTAAGAGGTGGGGGGCATGGTATCTTATTTACATATTATTTTTTATTCGAGTGTTTTGTCTCCGTATCTGTGCAACAAGTGCATGCTTAGTACCCAAGGAGGCCAGCAGAGGGCATCAGATTCCTTGGGACTGGAGTTACAAAAGGCATGTAGGTGCTGGACGTCAAACTCGGGTTCTCTAAAAGAGCAATCAGTGATCTTAGCCATCTCTCCAGCCTAAAGGCTGTTAAACTATGTATTAAGTTAAACTATATATTCAATTTTTGGAAAAACACTGAATTGTTTCCAGAGTCCAAAAGGGTAGATCTGTGTGGATTTAAGACTTTGAAAGCTATCGACCAAAGTTAACTGCCCCGTGCAGGCCTCACCTCTCGAGCCGCACAGTCATGAGGTGCTTCTTCTTTATTTACTTTTCCTTTTGGAAATCCCCAGCCTGACTTTGCCAGGTACCCCTGAACCAGCAGTACCTGCAAACAAGCAGAAATTCAAAAACAAAAAGCCAAGAAACCTACTTTCCCATTACATTCCATTCCCCAACCAAAGGCTTTCTCTGTATTTACGGTAATTATTTACCAATAAACTGTGTATACCATTTGCCCTAAATATCTTCCAAGAATAAAAATATACTAGTGTGAAGAAACACACCTTGTATATTTATAACAGACTGTTTTCAACAATGAAATGACACATCTTTGCATTAAGTCACAACAGGTACAAAATTTTAAGATACAGAATGCAGGGGTATCCATGGGAGACCTTGTCCCCCTTCTAAGAGATGGAAGGGGGGAAAGAAAACTGTGAGGGGGGAACTGGGAAGAGGAGGGGCTGTGATCGGGATGTAAAGTGAATAAATAATGTGGGAAAAGATAGAAAATGCAGGCAAAGCATCCAAAATTTAGTTAACAGTAAGAACCTAAGGGTATTTTAAAACCTCAATTTAGAACATTACATTAAAAACGTTGTCAACAAGTTGGTCACTACTGCACTAGAAACCTTCCAGTACACTCACATTCTCCAGGGTCTCATCGAGAATAATTGCCCCATAAGTTGGTACTCCCATTTTATATTCCTTCCATTCATCCAAAATCTTTTCCACATCTTCACCTTGTGGCAGCAGAAATGGACAGTGACTGAAGAGTATGAATAATGTTAAGGAAACTGCCATTTACCTTATCACAGTGTAAAGAGGTGACAACAGGGAGAGAGAGAGAGAGAGAGCGCACTAGTGCCCACATGTGCGGCTCACAGCTGTCTAACTCCAGCCACATGGGATCTGATGCCCTCCTCTGACCTCCACAGACACTCATACACACAAAGACCAACACAGAAATTAAAAAAAATCAATCTTCACAAAATTATATGTAGAGACAGACCTATTTAAATCAACTGTAAGTCATATGAAATTAGTCAAGCCTGCAGTTTATTTAGGTTCCCCCAAGCACATTCATTTTCCTTTGAGCACAACATTAACTTTTATATTCAACCTAGACACAAAGGAAACTGCAGGTCTGATAGATAATAAGTGCTGGACTCCCCAAGTTAGACAGGAATGTAGAAGCTCTGACTCAGTACTCATCCCCGTGTCAGATCCACAGGAGTCAGCCTGAGGGAGGTGCACACATTCTACCAAGAGGAAGGAGCCATGACCGGGCACATGAAGAGTTAAAGTGCTAGAACCCTGGGAAGCAGGTGAGGGATACCATGCATACTCAAGTTCTTTGCTACATACATACACGTATTCACTTCTAACTGTTAACACTGAAGGTGAGCCTAACTGAAGCTTATGAAGGAAAATGTGCGTGTCAGTTTCACAAGAAATAAAGTATGTAGCCAAGAAACAAAACAGTGTAAAATATTAAAGAACAAACTTGGAGACAAAAACAAACTCTACAATTGTATGCTAAGTCTTTTGATGCCCCACGCCATCAAGGGCCCCATCACTGAAACAGAGGATGACACATATGGAGAAAACAGTCAGTTTATGACCGGAGGACCTTTGTAATGGCTCTCAAGCCCTTACTTACAAACTTGCATATTCTGTTTTGATTCTGATGTTAACGCTACAAGACAAGCACTTGACGTGAATGTATTTCAATTGTGTGCGATGACAGCACATGTCAGGCCGCCATGAGACTAACACTAGTTTAATACCTGCAGGTAATAACAGCAGAAGCAAAATACATAAACGATATTTTAAAGTAAAATGTAAGAAAAGGGGAGATTCTACAGCAGATGGAGCAAACCTCACTTCTATCACAGCAACAAGAAGTTTGGACAAAATGAAGTCATATTTACTTCATCTCATAAACAGAATTTTATGAGCTCTATTACATATTTTGAAGTTTAGTTTTATGGTTGAGTAAGAAGTAAAAAGGCCCTCTACGAACCCAAAGAGGCCAATCATCTGACACCATGACTAAAAGACAAACACACAGTCAATCTCCATATGATTATTTCACGCTTTCAAAGCTAACTCCAGATACTCATTAGCCATCCCACGAACACCTGTGGTTCCTCAGAGACCAAGATACTGAAATCACTTCTTGATAAAAGTCTGACTCTCTGCAGTCAATAAAATTCTGTTGTAAAGTCATCCAATTGAAAACAAAAACATAATTCTTTGCCCTTCTCTGTAAGTTGACTCCCTGCCCTAATATTTAACAAAAACAAAACCCAGCAAAACAAAAATCCCCAGAAAACCTGCAGCTTCTTTTCCAGGCGCGCCCCACACCCCCACACCCCTACACAATTCAGCTGAGTTACTGCCAGCATCTCTTTTCCACTTACTCTGAAACATCCTTTTTCACTTTGTGAAGTTTTTCTTCCAAAATGATTTCTAAAGTAGACCTCTATCTACCCTCAAGATATGATTTTCACAACCTTATTGGCTCTGTCCTAGATAATGGATCTATCCTAAACAATTACGTGTACAAGAAGCCTGATTTCTAAACTTATTCTTTGATTAAGCAACGTTCACTTAGTCATTAAATAAAGAAGGGAACTGGGAGCACAAGAAAGAAATTTAATAACTTCATGATCTCCACCAACCAAGTTGGGCGTGGATCTCAGGGCCCTTGAATTGAATCTGGAATGGTTCTTCTTTGTTCTCTGACTGCTATGGTACTCCATCACTCTGAATTTCGAAAGCATTTTCCTTTATCTCACATAAGCCTGTTACTGCAAAAATGCCTGGCACATAGTAACTATTTAGTTATTTAATAAAGTTAATGAGTTTCTTCTCAACAAAGGTTCCTTCTCCATATAACAAGAGTAAAAAGAGGAATTGCATCAAGGTTTTGGTATCTGTAACACTAAGGTTAAGTATAAAACTCAACATGCACTCATAAGCAAATTCTTATTCAGAAACCCAAGCATATACAGCTGTTTGCAAAGACTGTGAGTCTATACAAGGTGACAAAAACAAAGGATTTCCACAGCTAGATTAGGACTCCTAAAAGGAAGGTCTTTCTTCTGTAAAGAACCAGCCATCAAGCCTTTACCAAAGTAATAGTCAGTCTAATCTTCTTTCCCTTGGACTCATCACCAACTTATACATAATAACACATCTATATAATCAAGTGTCCTACGTACTTGTTTTGACTGTTCTTTCTGAATCCTAGAAACATGGCTCAAATTCCTACTCCTGTCTTAAGAACTAGTGCTTGCCTATGGCTCAGGTCACCAACCAAACACATCTTGGGTATCGTTTTCACAGGATGAACGATATTTTCACATGATAGCATGCTCAAACACTGGCCATCTCCAGAACAGTATGTTACCCATTTTGTATGGAGCCGCAGGAATCCCTTATACATGTGGGAAGAAACAGGGAATTAGTCGTTTGGTATTTTGGGTCATTTGTACCTGCTTTAAGGCTAATTCTAACACACTGAATTGTGAGGACAAATTCACTCAACACAATGAATGACTAAGAACAGTATCGACCAAGTAAGTCAAGTCACCCGAGTCATGATTTATGAGTTCCAACCCCACCAATCTCTTCCACCCACTTCTAATACGGTCTCACAAGAATTCCCTGCTTGGCACAGACTAGCTTTGTTTTTTAACTCTACAGAACTTTCCAACTCCACAAGTCTGCTCATGCTCTGCTGTGTATATACAGGAAACTCTGTATCTCCTTTAAGAATGCTTCGTCTAAAATCTTCTATCCCACTTCTAAATCCTAAGAATATTAAATACATTAACCCTTCATTTTTTTTACTATGTAGACAGTTTTATAATTTTAAGACATTCATAAATATTACATCAAAACAAACTTGTGGCTTTTTGTCTGTTCATTTTTGAGGCAGGACCTTCCTATGTAGCCCTGGCTGTCCTGGTGCTTTATCTACAGACTAGGCTGTCCTTCTGGTACTCAGAGATCTATCTGCTTCTGTCTCAAGTGCTGAAATTAGCTGGATGAGCCACTACATATGACTAAGCTACATCCTATACAGGAAGAGAAGCTTCTTTGATCATCTGGTTAACGGTATACCAAGAGTAAAGCAAAAATCAGAACTGTCCCAGAAATAGCCCAATTCTTTATAGAGGAAAACCATATCTAATTCACTCCTAATCACTATACACTTCAGTACTATGAAAAACAAGAGCACAAAGAAACTGCCTCACATGTCTATTTTACTATGTGTTATCCAAATGTTACAGACACTCAAAGAAAATCAAAAAGGAAGTTCGTGTGAAAGTATTTTATTAGAAAGAATGAAAGACAATCACTGTAGCAACAAAAAGGATATCAGCTTTGGCAAAGTCTCTTATCCCACACTGAGGTAATCCTGGTGTGTTCTGCATGTAGAAATCCAAGTAAAACCAATGGGCCAGTTCAATCTGGAAGCACACTCGGATTGCATTGTCTCTTTCCTCACTGGGAATATGCAAAATAAATCGGCTGTCAAAAACAAAAATGCATAGAAATTACAATCACAAACTACTACAGTTTGATATATTTACTTTGTTACTCCACCCATCAACTAAGAAAAGAGAGGAGAAGCAGTGATGTGGATTTGGTTTATCACTTATATTACATTAATTGGGTGCCCAAAATTACACCGGAATTCGTATGTCTGCATGTAAAGACACCAAGGGTCCCTATCACCAGTTGGCTTTGTTTGGTAAGTAAAGTTGCTGTCAACGAATGGCTGGGCAGGGAGACAGAGGCAGGACTTTTAGGATTTCAAGGCAAGAAACACAGGGAGTTGGGTGGTTGGTAGCAGTGAGAAGAAGGGGTTGCCATGAGATCCAAGCTTGAAAGCAGTAGAAGAGGAAGTGTACCAATCATGTAAGACCCAGGGTAGAGCACCACGGCCCCCCGCAGGATCTAAGGTAGCAAAGATGGAATATAGATTTTAGTAAGTAATAACTGAGGAGTATCAGAGGGGAGGTGTTAGCAACGTGGAAGGTTGGGAGTGCCCCAGCCACTGAGCTGAGTAAGGCATTTTAAAATAGAAGGATGCATGTGTATGTTTCACTTGAGAAACCATAACACTGGGGCAGTAAGGAGGAACTTGAGCAGCCCCTACCAGGGAGATTAGAGCAGATTAACCAATTAAGAACTACAGCAACTGAGCAGTTCTGACCCTTTCAGATGAGAGGGGCCTGGGAAGAATGTTGAGAACTGGGTGTGGCAGTGCAATGCCTGTACTGCCTCCACTAGGGAGATTGAGGCAGCAGGCTTGTTGGCATAAATCTGGCTCAAAACAGAGGACTTGTAGAGAAGTTTTGAAGAACTGTATAGCTACTGTTCCCAAATACTGAAATTAGCTATCTAGCAAATTAAACCAAGTGAGAAACTACTGGGATTTCTTCTGAAGTCCAAGAATACATAAGTGTCATCATAATCCATCAAATGTGCCTGACATCCAAGTAGTCCCCAGACATAAACAACACAAGAGACAACTGTGGGAGGGAGAAACAGGCACTATAGTTTCTCTTTAACACATTAGATTTCCCAAAAAGCATAACCACAGAGTCTTGAACCACACTAACTTTCAAACACTTTCTAAGACCGCAAATTGACTTTTTAAACTCACCAAGAAAGGAGGAAAAAGTCTTTGTGTGTGCGCTTTCTAGACAGGAATACAAAGTAGCTGTGTGAAGATGATGAAGATGAGAGCTGTCTTATTTGAGAGAGGCACACAGGTTAGTTAGGACACACGGGTTAGGATCTAAGTGAGTATGAATGCCGGGGGTGTGAAACAGTCACTAACTGCTCCTCTTTCATCGAGCATTTTAGGAACTCCTTTGTCCTTCAAGCATTAGAAGCAAATTCAGCTACATGAAATAAATGTGCTGGCCTTTTGGATCATTTTTATTAAAGAGAGCTACCACTCAACTAATTAGTTATATTGCATTATTTATTTGCTATGGTGCCAAGTGGTTTTTATTTCTGTTCTCAAATTTCAAATCAAATCAAAAGAAAATATTCTAAAATTTTAACACCAGGGTCACATTCATATAAATCAACAACAGCACAAACATATGACTAATGGATCAATATAAAGAGATAACAATGGGGAGAGCTGCAAGAGGATCCCTCTGTGTGGGGAGACCTTGTTCTTCCACCTCGTGAAGTGCACCTGCTTACTCTACCCATCCTCACCTCTGCTGGTCTGCCTAGACTCAACCCCAGGGACTCAGAAACAACACCACCGTCACCATGCCAGTGCACTAGACTCCTCTGAACATGCTTATGCTCTCTCAAACTCACAAAATATCCAAATTTGTTCAGAGATGGTATACAATATACTGATAGTTGTAATTTATCTTTTAAATGTTTAGGCTGATCCCTGCCATAAGACACAACATGGAACTTGGACAGAATACATGGACTAACTTATTTTATACGACTCTTCTGAAAAGTAAACACATGTGGAAGGAAGAAGCTTGGAAAAGATCAAGATCAAAACAAAGCCACATACCCGCACGCCTCAGTATACCATGCTGCAACTGGAGACGTCGGTGGGCAAGCTCCAAAAGTCTTCTCCTGGGTCACAGAATCTGACAGACAGGACAAGGTCCTTACAAAGCTCAGCTCATAGGACTGCCCAGGAATGCAGAAGTAGGGGAGGAGAATGCCAGAGAAATGGGCCCATAAAACTGTGTATGAGCACACACTCAATTAGACTGAGAGCAGCCAGTTATAATCTTTGAGTGAACTGAGAAAAAACGCTAGTCAAATCCCAGATTGGCCACTAGGTGGCTCAGGGAAAAAAAAACACTGTAGAAACTAGCCCTCTTGCCTCCATGTCTAACTAAAACAAACTGCTGTGTCTTCTCTAGGGTTGGGCCTAGAGCAGCTTCCACAACAGAAGAAGAATCAACCCACTACACCCATTCTAGGCCAGCCGTTCCCTTCTTTCCATTCTCTCAACAAAACACTGTCTAGTTTTGCTGCTTTGCTTCTCTATTTCGTTTTGGAGACAGGGTCTCACCATGTAGCCCAGGTTGGCCTGTGGTTTGCTTTGTAGATCATATGACCTCAAACTCAGAGATCCACCTGCCTGCCTCTGCCTCAGGAGTGCTGGGATTAAAGGTATGTGCCATCACCACCGGTGCATGGACTGCTGATCTCTCAAAGGAGGCGGTTCTAACAAGAGGGGCGGCCTTGCACAAGGCAACAGCAGGGTGTTCAGCACCATTTCCACACTCTGAGTATACTATCCGCCAAGCTGTCACAACCAAATCATCCCCAGATACTGAACAATGTCCCTGAAACATGTGTGTGTGTATTTGTGTATTACTCACAGTAGAGACTTTTTGTATTAGATGTGCTAAATACAGGTTAGGTTAAAGAAGACCACTGTTTGTAGCTGAACTTCTGTACTAGGCCCCAACTAAGCATCCTGATTATAAAATGGAAGCTCCAAATCTCTATCATACTGTTTGCTGAACTTCCTAGAAACCAGGAGAGAGTATAGCCAAACTGTTAAAGGCTAGTTTCAATGATAAGGAAATGAGAAATTAACAAAGCCCCTCCTTATACATAAACTAATATACATTTACTAATTCGTCTTCTGGAACTTTTGAAAAGAATAAACCTTTTTTTGAGACCCCTAGCATATAGAAGCCAGGCCATCTGTGCTCCAGGAACTTAGCCAAACACAAAAGGGCGGAACCAAGAATGCAGGTCATCTGGTTCATAGGCTCTGGGCTCTGGGTTCTAGTAATTGGTTGACCATAAAGAAAATACCAGTCACCTGGGCTGTTTCAAGGACTTGCTGGCCACATGATAGATGATTAAACAAGATTAAATTCTTGAAAAAATAAGTACACAGGGTGTGTTTCTCACATGATCGAATGGACTGGGGACCTTCCACTGTTTTTATGATACTGTCTGCTGATGTTTTTATGATTCCCCCTCACCGCCCTGGTTTGTGGTTTTCTCCTTTAAATACCCTTCTCCTTCTGGCCTCGGAGTCGACGCTCCTCTTGTGAGTCTCAGCCTCAGCCGGCTGATATCCTGAAATAACGTCTTTTGCGGTTTGCAGCAAGTTCGGTCTCTTGAGTTTCTGGGTGACGGTGAATTCCACAACTTGAGCAAGGGTCTCCCCTCTCAGGGGTCTTTCACTTTCACCTGGATGCTGCCGGGCAAGGAGAGCAGCTTCCCAACAGAAAGGCCTTCATTCTTCCCTCAGCCCCCCTTGCCTATGAATCCACTTCTCACCTGGTTTATGCTTCTTGACAGTGTCAGCCAATTCTACAACACTAAGACTAAACTACTAACTAACTTCTAAAGGCTGTTCCCTTCTGACAGATCATCACGCTGTCTTTACACTATGGTCAGAAAATACAATTTAGAACCTCACCCTTGCTCACTCTCCATTCAGTTCCTGTCACTACTTCAATGGTTGGAGGGCTGAAAACAGACACAGCTTTGGGGCTGAGGATATCCCACTATGGGTCACCACTCATGAGTTGTGTCCTTGACTATACCACAAAAACAAACAAACAAAAAAACCCCAAAAACAAAAAATCTCATGACTAGCCAGAGTAAAGCAAAGTTAGTTAATTTATTAATCAGAAATGATGGATAGTATATCCTTTAGGTGTAAGTACAGTAGAGTAGGGTTAGCATATATAGTAACACATAGTATAAGACCTCAATTGACTCAAGAAAAGGAACAGAATCCACATGGCAGGCAGGGTACAGGGAGCTCAAGAGAGTCCCACTGTATGCAAATTAACAAGACACCTGTGATTAAGTGAACACATTCACTCTTCAGACCAGAGCAGAAAAAAATAAGTTTATTGCATACAGCATGGGCAAAGAAGGCAAGGGCAGTAACAAAAGAATTGCCCTCATGAGACAATGGGACCTGTGAGCTGTTTTAGAACTACCTTCTCTTGGTTAGGGTAATGGCAATAATTAACAAGAGCTAACTATCTAGAATCTAAAGTTACCATGGAGACAAAGCTCTGAACACATGTGTGACGCTGGTTCTATTTTAGGTTAAGTGAGGTGCTCAGTCCTAAATTGAATAAAAAAAGAGAAAGCAAGATGAGTACCACCAGCATTTAGCACTGTGGTTTAGGACTGGATGTGCAACATGACCAGCCTCATGCTGCCCTACTAAGTTGGACTGGATCATCACACACCTTCACACCTTAAGACGTCATAAATCCTTCTTTTTTGGCAGGTGTTTTGTCACAGCAATGAGAAAACTAATTTTGTGACTATGTAATCAGCAACCACACAAATGAGGTCAGTCATGACTGCTCTTGTAATTGCTATCTTTCAGAGGCTAGAGAACAAGGCTCTTGTAGAAAGGTTTACCACCGCAGAAACCTGACCAAGATAGGATACTGTAGGACAAAGTCACTTTGCCTTCTTCTGGGAACATCACTCTCAACACATGATAAATCCACACACACACTGGCCACCTCATGGCT